CAGAACACAGCCAAATCAAAAAATACATCCCGCAGATTTTGGAGACGTCAATCATTGACCAAAAAATACATTTCAAGCATAGCATTGATTGATAGTCTAGCAACAAAACATGAATCGTCCAGCCTTTCTTTCCACCCTTCCCTTTCTTTACGAACTTTCTTCCAGTAACTGGCCACCACTCATATCGGAAGACATGGGAAAGACTCGGCGGCAAATTCTGTTTCGGGATCATTACCTCTCCCTCGAACCCTTGACGCTTGATTCGGAAGGAACCTTGGGACCAGCCTACTTTGTTGCTTTAGCCCAGAATAATAATGAATTGTTTGATGCGGCCATGTGCAAGGTGGAAATGGTCCTCTTTACCACACCCAAAAAGACGCCCTTTCAAGTGCCACGCAACACGCCCGCCAAAAGTCCAGGAAGGGCTCTGGAAATGGAATTCAAAGAATCCATTGCTTTCCTGTTGATTGATGATCGAATTTATCAAATGGATTTGGGAAAAATTAAAAATGTGGAATTGAAAGCATTGGAGGCTGCTGGAAGAAACAATAAGAACCAACCTCCCTGCTTGTTGATGCACTACCCCCATTGTGCCTTTCGCATTTTTTCACTCGTGGGAAATGACACAGACCAGTACGCAATTCTCAATACGGGCAAGAATGAAATTCTCAGTGTCATCAATGGGGACATGTATTGTCCCTTTCCTACCAAGGATTCGGATCTGACTAGTGCTATTAGTCCCATGCTAGTGGGAACAAGCAGTACTACTACCAATTCGGAACCGGGACAACAGGAACTAGCCTTGCAACACGAAACAGCTCGGCCTTCCAGTGAGGATACTACAAATAGTCGAAAAAACAGTGGTAGTAAAGCATCATCCGAGATGGCGGTAGTGGATACGACCGTGGAACAATGCAACGCCAAGACGAAAAAATGCCGGGCATGCTTGACTACCGCACGAGAAGATCTTCAATCTCTGCGCCGGCTACTCAAGTCACCACCACCGCCACCACCACCACCACAATCTTCTGATACTAGTAGTAGCACTCAATCTATGCAAGAAATACGAACAACTGCGTCCAGTCTCTTGACATCAGTGGCAGAAAATGTGGGAGCTAGCTTTGGTTGTACCCAAGACGAAGTGGTGACTGCGGCACGGGGCTTGGATCAGGAAATGGACTCCTACCAAAGTCAATTGGACACTTTGCTAAAGACCATTTGGCCTGCCAACAAGCGTCCCAAAAAGAGGGCTCGTGGTCATGCAGGTAAAAAGAGAAATGTTCCTCCATTGCCACAAGACGTCCAAGATGCTTCCATTGATCACGTGGAAATGCTTTTGGCCAAACACAAACAAGCACTTCGATCCAAGTATGCATTGGCCATGTTGCCAACCAGAGGATAGATAGACTACGACGGGATGGATGTATACAATAATTGTAGTGCATTTTAATACATATATATATATATTAGTTCTTTGCTGCTACAAAAAGTAGAAAGGGTATTTACTATTTACTTCTACTCTTCATCATGATCCGTGCACGCGCGATGACGTTTCCAACGATACATTTGCGGATTCTCCGGATTTTCTCTTGAAATTCATGGGAAGAAGGCTGAAGATTCCGAACAACAAGAGTCGTGTGTCGCTCCTGTTTGAATTTCTTTCTTGTGATTGAATAGTGGACAGACAGCACGCAGTTGCATTCTCCCCAAAGCCTAAACTACAACTCCATGGCCTCATTTATATAATACATAAGAAGGAATTAATTGCGAGGATGGATCGCGTACTTGCCATGTTGATCCTTTTGGGGGTCCTTGTCGTAAGTTAACAAACAGCAAGAGCTTTGAAATCTTTGAACTTGCATGGCATTGTTTTATTAACATCTTGCTGTTTCCTATTGATTCTCGGTATATCTAGAATGTTGTTTTATTACTTCTCGCACTATTCGCAATGGCACCGATTATATGTTCTTGCCTTCTTTCTCTATTGTACACACTCTACTTGTTCATTGCTTACGAAGAAAGCGGGGTACATCATGCGCAGGAATACGAAAATCGATTCTGGACCATCTTTGCACTCCTCTTTTCGACGGCACTCATCTTTGCTCAAGATTCTCCCATGGCATTTGGACGATACAGCCCCAGTCTGGGATTCTTTGGCGTCCTAATGTCCAGCTACGCCATGCACTTGTGGGATCGGTACACCCATCGATTGACCCTCAGTCAACAAACCAAATTGCGGCGTTCCTCCTTTGCATTGAATCATCATTCCATGGGGGAAATCAAAATTACTGTGGATGAATATCTGGCCGAGATCAATGGATCACTCCGGGAGATTGACCAGCTTTTGATACCCTCCACCATTAACAATTGGATCAATCAACGATTCGTGCTTCGGAAGGAAAAGGAAATTATATCAGTCTTTTGGAAATGCGATGCCGTAGCGCTAAACTTTTTGATCGGGCACACCAAACTGGGTTTGTTGATGTATAAGATTAAGGACCATCGAAACTTTGCGGGACAGCACCGATCGGAATTGATTGAATTGCTGGCGGTAGATCGATTGCCCGCGCTCACTGTCATGTCACGAGTCATTGTGCTTCATGCCTTGCAAATCTTGAAACTGAGGGCCAATCCCAGAGCCGAACACTGGGTACGCAACATTCTACTCAATACGCATGGAGACGATCTATCCGAGATCAAGACTCTTACGGACTCGAAAGGAGATTACTTTTGCATGAACAAACTCATCTACGATGACATTAAATCCGAGACAATTCGACAGGATATTTTGAATCACTTTCTCAGAGAGGGTGCCTTGCAACTATCCCACATGCAAATGGGAACAAAACGAGCCCAAAGCCGTAAACACATGGCATGGCGAAAAATTCTGTCGGACGTGGACGATACACTGTTTTGTAGCGGGGGTCATTACCCAGCTGGAATTGACAAGAGGTTTGCAAAAAAGGTTGTATATCCTGGAGTATTGGCATTCTATCGAGAATTGGATCTTGGGACCAGTGGACCAGAAGAATGGCCAGAGAATCGAGTTGGAAATCTAGTGTTTCTTTCCGCTCGACCGCATGTCTACAAGGATGTCAGCGAGAAACAAAATTTTGCCAAATTCGAAAAGCTACGGGCCACGGGAGAGGATGGGAGAAAGGGTATGCATACAGTTCCATCATTATTGCCCGGTGACATTGCCTCTGGTTCGCAGTACATGTTGACGAGTGATTTGGAACCGTTGGCAAGGAAAAAGTTTGACAATTTCAAACGATACGTTTCGATCTATCCGGAGTACCAGCATATTTTTGTTTGCGACAATGGGCAAGGTGACGTAAAGGCATCGGAAATGATGTTTGACAACTTTCCCTACGAATTTGGTGGCGTTTACATCCACAAAGTTCAACGAATACAGAATACTCATGGCTTTGCTCCAGAACGATGGCGCAAGAAGGAGTTTTCTCCATGTTTCTTCACAACGTATCCGGAAGCCGCATTGCATGCTGCTACAAGGGACCCACCTCTGATTCGAGTGTCTGGATTGCGTCGAGTGTGCCACGAAGCAGCGAACGATTTCAACTCAATAACGGAAAAGCAATGGCCGTCGAAAATTCAGAAATCGGAACGACGAGCCGAGCTGAATCAAGCGATATGGAAAGCGAATTTGTTTCTGGAAAAGAATGGAGTCGATGCTGTGAAAATGGTCCAAGCAGAGCAATTGTTTCAGGATGGAGAACGAGTTAATACACCATACGGAAGAGGCGTCATTCAAGGTTTCGATCCGGAGACAGATTTATATGATGTTGAATTGGATTGGAGACCATTAGATGTTCAGGTTGATGACCATTTGAAGCGTGTCAAGGAAGAAGCGATACGGCCACGTCAAGCGAACAACAGGAAGCAATCTGGCGACAGGAAGGAAGCGAGTCAGCTCCAGACTGTCTTGGAAACTGACGAGGCTGATGATGATGAAAATGACGGAGGCCTGGCGTCTGAGATAACGGAACGTTTGGCACTCGATACAGAAATCAAGAAAGAAAACACCAAGAGCACTCTTTCTCTCCCAGGAACGGCAGAGACAAGTGAGGCGAGGTCCTCTGATGGGGGAACTACTGATGTTTCGTCATTGAGCTCCATTAGCACCGACGACGGTAGCAAAAGAAATCGACCCTTTTGTCAAGCGAGGGCGAAGATCAGAGGGCGTCAAATCTCAAAGTTTACTCCACCTCGCCTACCCGTCGTTGACAAGAAATCGACGGCGTACTTTTCGTTCTTTGCAGGTAGTCCATACAAAAAGGGACAGTTGCCGCCGGTTTTATTCCAGGAAGGTGATAAGTGTTCGACGCCATATGGGCCAGCTACCATTTTAGAGTATCGCGCTACCGAGAACATCGTCGTTGTAGAGTTTTCGAAATGGAAAGCCCGTGGATATTTGAACGAAATCGATGTGAAAGTGACGAAGGAGAGGATCCTATTGTCATTGTCTTTGTTTCGGCGTCAAGGATCCACAAGTGAGACGACTTTGAAGCCCCTGGAGTTCCCATATGCAACAGGTACATTGATCAACACACCATACGGCGCGGCTGAACTTTACAAACCACTCCTTCTGACATCGAAACAGCTGAATGAAACTGAGCTTTTGAATCAAATAATTGGCCTTCGACTGGTATCATGGAAGTTGGCGAACGGATCCTATCCAACTATGCACTGTACCGTAAAGACAGTTCAGCAATGGAAGAATTCAAAGTCGAGATCATCTACGGACGGATTGCTCTCGACATTTGGCACGCTGCTAACAATGCCATTCTCGTCTCGATTCGGAACTCCCGCAAAAAAAATCACAACTGCTGTGGAAGCGGAAAAGATTCCAAAGTTTCGGCAGTACTACAATGACTCCACCAAGGTCTCGACTGCTTATGGAAACGGCGAAGTTCTCGAATTTCGTGAGGAGGATGGATTCTATAAGGTATCAATTACCAGCTGGACCCTTGCAAATGGCCAATGCGCTACCGCATGGCTTCGCGAAGTTGATATTCGCTGTCGAATAGCCGATGGTTGCCAAGAAGGATACCCTGTGCTGACTGGCATGGGGCTTACAGGCATCCTTGAATCGGTCCAACCAAGCACAGGGGTCCATCTCGTGACTGTCCCATCAGCCGGAATGGCAATGTATCTCCAACCAGATGCGATTGACAAACGGATAAAGGGGGCTGTCGGGGAAGATGCTTTTACAGCATACGGCGAAGGTACAATAGAGAACTATGATGCTGAGAGTGACATGTATGTCATTCGACTGAAAGGATGGGGAGCTAAGCTGTACTGCAAGGCGGAGAAGTTCGACAGAGTGCGAGATTCATCACGCGATCGAAATGCGTTGTCAAGCGTCGGGTGGCTCTTTGATTATTTCTTTTCCTCTAGAGCTGAAAATCCGGGCGAAGTAGGAACCAGAACTCGAAGCAATAGTCTGACGAGTGCCAGCGCTAGTGTACGAAGTGTAACTTAGAGTTTGATTGCTATTCTATAAATTCAGTTCTATCTATTTGTGGCCCATTCATAGAATTGGTGTTCAATATCTTTCGCTCCCCGCCTTAGTCCGTTTTGTGTACATCCTCTGAGATGTGCAATAGGCCATCTACGGAAATGGGCAAGAAGATTAAGGAAATATTTGGTCCAAGGACGAGCTTCAGATTGAAGTACCAACCAAGATCATATGGATTCTCGACTGGAGAGTGATGATCTCGTCGTTCCATCGTTGACCTATACCTTTGCATTATGAAAATCTTGTGTTCCAGTGATGTTCTCGCTTTGAGGGTATACGACAAATGTTGGGAGAAGAAGATGCCAATCATGATTCCTACCGAAAGGAGAAGAGGGAATACGAGCTTGACAAGGACCTCGTCATCTGCCGTGTTGGATAACAACTGGATCAGCAAATCAAAGGGCAGTGGGAGGTCCAAAAATCCGGTCTGCAAAAGTTGAATAATTTATTGGTTCAGAAATGGCGAAAGCCGATGGACATCCAGTGCAAAAAAGTGTCACTTACCGCATTGCCATACAAGAAACGAAAGCCATCTTTTACAATATTTTCCTTTAAGATTTCATAGAATGGAAATGACAGAACTGCAACACCATACCAACATCCAATGGTCAAGTAAAAGAGGATCAACAGAAACTGGCGATAATTGTTATAGCCAATAGAATTGTTCAGCCACACACAATGGTGGTCATAGCGTATGATGCACCGGTTTGAGACGCTGCAATGATGTGTTCGAGGAGGTCGTTGGATGTTGCATTTGTTGCAAAAGGTCCATTCGTTGGACGGAAACAGTTCTTGGCATTTTCTTATCCGCCAATGTTCTTCTGCCAAACTCAGAGACGGATTAATTCCGCACATCCCACCCTGACCATGAGAAGCTTTCCAAGTCAAGTGGTCGGGAACTTTGAAAGACGTTTCGTCATCGTCATTTAGTAGGCTACTGTATTCACTTGACAGTAGTACTCCTGGGGAGCGAAAACAAGCTGACACGTAGTTGAAAAGGATCATCCAACCGAGATAAGCCACAAAAGTATCATTGAGAATAAATGATGATTGACACAATGAATAATCATCTTGTTCCATGATGCACCAACGTTTCAAAAGCAATACTCTCAGTCGACCAAAATAAGATAGCAAGACAAAGAGTACAAGTAGGATTGCAAAGCAAGGAATGGAAGATCTCCAATCTGTATGAAGCTGCAACCGAGAAAGCCCGCAACGGTAATATATCAGTCCCACCCCAGCGGACATCAAGCGATACACCCAATGAAACGAATTGAAATCATCCGTGGATCTTAGGGATCGATTGAATTCAGCCCACGTGTCGCTCCAATGCCTTTCATAATTGGAAAGATCATTTCTATCCAAGGCCCTCGCAGCGTGACCGTTGTCGCCTTCCATGAAGAGCCACAACACTGACCGGGTGTTGTTTGTTCTTCACAGGAAGCCGGTGTTGCGGTTTGCCGAGAATTGAGGTTTTTGATAAAAATCTAAAATCAAATCCAGTCATGAGTTCAGTCACGCGAAGATCTTAATTATGGAACTGCTTTGATCAGCTGACCATAACCCGAAGAAAAAAGTCATTTCTGAAGACTTCACGTTCACGGCATTTCTACTGCCGGTTCTCTACCGGTACTTTCCGATCTGGATTGCATCCGTCTCGAGCACACCTCCACCGCTGCCAAGAATTCCGGCACCTACAGTACATCATACAGGAAGAATAAAAGACAGCAACCATGAGTGAGGAAGGAAAAGAACCATCCGAAGCCAAAGGACAGGTAAGGACTGTGTAAGGGGGTTGGAATCGATCCTGGTGATAACGCATACTGCAAGGTTCACGTGGTCATGAATATGTGATGGTTAGGGCATCCATTGATGGCATGATCCAACAGGTGACATTTATGTTATCTGGAGCACTGCCGGCGATGTTTCGCTAGAAGACGGGGGCATTAGAGTTTGTCTCGAGGGTTGCAGGTGTCTCGAGGGTTGCAGGTGTCTCGAGGGTTGCACTGCCTGCATCTTTTGAGAGCGTTGTGGAGCGAAATTTTTGCTCCCATTGCAGCATATGTAAATCAGAAAGTCTCATATCCTGTTTTGATTGCTGATGTAGGGAATCTTGGGCAAGCAGTTCCAGCGCATGAGACGGCGTTTGACTGTTACTGGGGCAAGTTCGAATATTGATGGTGTCGTTGGAAAGGGGCAAGAAGTTCCAGAACCAAAAAAGAGCAAAAAGAAAAAGGTGAGTATCTTCGCGCTTCCACATCAAATTCCATCAGCAGGCTTGATTGATGATGCCTTACATTATCGTTTTCGTTCTGGAAACAGCATCAAGCCGCTGTCCGATGCGCAGTTACAGAATATTCGGGGGTATCAAAGAAGGGGCATGCTCCTTACAACCCTAGAAAGAAGAATCAAGATGCTCTCATCATGGCCGACGATCCAGGAACAAACAGTCTAATCCTAGCTGTATTGGATGGACACGGTGAACATGGTGACTACGTTTCAGCTTGGTTTCGTGATCAGCTAATCACCGAAATGTTCAACCATCCTGCTTGGGTCAACAATCTGAAAGAGGCTGTCGCTGATGCCATTGGAAAGGTCGAGCGCGATCTTCTTCGAAACTTCCGAATTGACACTGAGTTCAGTGGTACAACGCTTTCCATGGCGATTGTTCGAGGAAATGAACTCACTGGTGTGAACATTGGAGATTCCCGAGTTATCATGGGAAAACAAGAGGGAGGAGGAAGTATGACACCTGTCGAAATTACCTTCGATCACAAGCCTGATTCCCCCAAGGAAAAAGAGCGCATTCTTGCATGTGGAGGACGTGTCTTCGCTGTCGAGTATGACGATGGTATTGATGGGCCACCACGTGTCTGGCTTGGTCACATGGATGTTCCAGGTCTTGCCATGGCTAGATCTTTGGGAGATGTCGTCGCACATTCTGCTGGTGTCATCTCTGAACCAGAGTTCACTGAATACAAGTTGAACCCAGAAACGGACAAATTCCTTGTCATTGCCACTGATGGTCTTTGGGAGTTTGTTTCCAACCAGGAAACAATCGAAATAGTAGAAGGCCAAATCGGACCTGCGCAAGCTGTCGACACTTTGGTGACCGAAGCTGGCACCAGGTGGATGAAGGAAGAACAAGTCATTGATGACACAACCGTCATTGTTGCCAACCTCTTTGGATGGAGATCGGGGGCTTAGGGCGCTTGGTGAACGAATGAATCAGGCAACGACTCCTACAACTTTTGACTATCAAAGAATAAAAAAGAAAAAGTACCGACATTTAGTGCGTAGGTGATACTGTTAATCTCAGTACATAGAATGATAAACCTAAACAGATCGAAAGAAAATATTCAAATTCATTTGTCTATATTTACATCATTGGCTTTACAGAAACCGGAGACTCTCGTGTGATGGTGATGAAACAGCAGCCAATTATTTGGTTGGCTTTTGGAGATCCGGGACTTTCTTCAAATATGACTCGTCGTCTTTTTCATAGCGGTCAGCGATGTTGTTGAAGTTATTTCTATCTTTATCTTCTTCAGCGACCTTCTCATCGATCTTTTTGAAAATGTTTGTGTGCAGGTATTTGTTTTCAATTTTCGATGATTCGTACACATTTCTTCCTGTTTGGTAGAATTGAAAGCCTAGCAATGACATCAGTCCGAAGACACCTCCTTTGTGTGCCACATCTGCTACTCTCGTAAAAATTGTCATGTTTGTATATATGTTTCTTCTTGCTACAGTATGCAATGGGTGTCTAGTCTATACAAAAGGTGCTGTCTAATGTTGTGGTGGTGGCGATGAGGTTGCACGAATGGTTGCTGACTCAAAACGTCTGTGGATCGACCCGTCCGAATGAATTTCAAAAAGGCCTTTTTCCGAATCCTCTCCCTCGGAGAGAAATCATCAATCCGATTGAAGAATGAAAGTACATTAGTCAATTTCGATCATTCTATGCTTTAGATTTACCATCAATAGTATCCCTCTATCCAATATCTACCCTTTACCTAGCTTTAGGCATCACCATACCAATACCGACATCTTGCCGTGTACAAATCTCGGCGCTCCAGTTCCAATGCCACCTTTTCGGCTTCCAGGATTCCTTCAACATCGTCAATCATAGCCATGCGATTTTCCAATTTCTCCATTCTCTTGTTAACTAGTTGCGACAAGATGGAAGATAGGTTGTCTTCTTGCGCCCTTGCTTGCTCCAAGGCTCTCGAAGCAATGAGACCTACCACGGCAGCTCCTTGCGCTTCCTTGACATTCTCTTCTGAAGCTTTTAGGGCAGCATTCGTAACCTTCTTGACGATGGCTGGATTGGAACTGTCGATTAAGTCCTTGATGAACTCTTGCCGAAGACTCTCTTTGGACGCGTCAGCCTTGGGAGTTGTTGCTGGTTTCGATGGCGAAGATGGAGGTTCACCATCCACCGCCATGTCATCGCTGCTGGGAGGACTAGCTGGAGGTTCTTCGGTCTTGATTCCCAGCGACAAAAAGTTTCGTTCGCAGTCTTCTCCCGTCACACCTTGTCCCATAGTCTTTGCCACTTCATCCCAGTCAATTGCACTATCATCGGTATCGCCATGTTCCAGCTTGCGCTTCTTGGATTCTTGGACAATCGCAGTGATTAGATTATCACTGAGACTTTCGTCAAACTTGCGCGGCGGCCTCTTGGTCTGTCGTAGAATTGCTGGAGTGGGAGCCGAGTCGTTGATACTATCTTCATTGATGAAACCCCAATTGATCAAAAATGTACGAAGGCGATGCAGACTTCCAGCATCTCCCTCAATGGACCTCCGAATCATGGAGTTGGTCACGTTCCGATTCAAAACTGTCTTGGAAATGGCAATGACGCGTTCCCTTGTCTTGATATACTTTTCGGGAGTTCGATGTGGAGCGCTGGCATCAAACCATTCGGGCAACATGGTGCGTTCCAAGTCAGCAATTTTGTTGGACTTGTACCAATCAGGATTGGGTGACAATTGGTCGCCAGGAGTAACCGTTTCGTCGTTTGGCCCTGGCTTGTGTTGGTTCCATTGAGGTCGGGGCTTGTTGTTCAGCGTCTTGGTGGGAATTAACTTGGTCTGCGGTGCCGAGCTCACAGTCTTTGGAGGAACAGTGGCGCTTGGTGTTGTGGATGGAACCTGGCCTGTTGGGTGGGTAGATCTCACTTGGGACGTCGGTGCTGTTGACGGCACCTGACCTGGTGGGTGGACAGGTCTTGATTGGGGCGGCGGCGCTGTTGACGAAACTTGCCCCGGTGGATGGGCAGGTCTTGCTTGGGGAGCTACTCCACCAGGTACCATGGGTTTGGATCCAGCAGGTGCCACTGGTGCTGACATGCTTGGTGCCGGACGATGTGCGGTTTGTGGCTGTGGTGTAGCTTGCGGTGGTTGCGTCTGGGGTTGTGTAGCCGGCTGTTGTCCGGGCATTGCGGGACGGGTTTGCTGTACCTGTGGTGTTTGCGCTTGTGGCATGGCAGGACCAGGTTGTTGCTGCGAAGGGGCATGAGTCGGTGTGGACATGGGCGCGGCACCAGCTGCTGGTGGCGCTTGTATCTGAGGATTGTGAGGCACTTGTCCACTAACAGGTGGCAAGTTAGTGGGAGGGTTGTTGTCACCGCCACCACGAATTCGCTCTCCTTCCACTGGTTGTCCTGAAGCAGTTGGTTGCATCACCGTTCGAGTCAATACTCGGTTTTGGACTCGGGTTCGCATCACCTTGACATGCGTTACTTGCGGTTGCTGTTGTTGCATCATCATTTGACCGGGAACTTGTGGAGGCTGCGGCAACTGTCGTGCTACAGTCACTCTTTCTGGCGTCAGCTCGGTGATGACCACTTGACGAAGTTTGGCATCCACCATTGACCTTGAAACGGAATCCAGTCCAGGAAGCTTGTAATTCGACGACGATGGCGCCATGTCCTCAGACGCCTTGTCAATAATATCTATAGACTCTTTTGGCATGTTAAGCGCTCCCCTTGCCACTGTATGCTTGATGCGTTCCCCACGAGCCCCATAAAAACCAGTCAAAATGTTTTGACAGTCCATAGCTGATGCTTCTTCGCGTATCAGGCTCGTTCCATCTACGGCGCTGCCCTTTTTGCTGCCGCCCTTCTTCTTGGAAGATTTTATTGACGAGTCGGAAGACATGGATGGAAGTTAGAATGATAATGAATGATGCTTGTCGGTGGAGGAATTGAAGTCGGATACAAAGAGTTCAAATCAATGCGGTGAGGTTGGTTGGAAGACATGCAGACGCTTGACTTTGTGGAAAAAAAATAGCCGGCGCCTATGCGGCGTCCGCATATGGTTTGCCATTTCACTGAGGAATCGGTAGCAGGCGGTTGAGGTACAAGTGCACTTGTCCAATCTTGGAAGATACCATATAGATACCATTCATAGGTTTAGTAATAGAAGACCTATCCTTGCATTGGTCGAAACGATTACGGAGTCGCAAGATTTTTAGTTGATTGTAATACAAGCCCCAAGCAAATAATGTAACCAAAACAAATGGAGCGAGAGCACTCCTCTATTTATTGGACATTATTTATGAGTTTGCTACACATGTAGACCGAGTAATATCAGCCGCAAAGTCGCCTGTAGTGTCAAGAATCGGCGATTGCTGTCGTATGAACCTTCTATAATCTAGCAGAATTGTTTTGTGATCGGAAAAGAACTCATGCTTTTCAACGTCGTCCAGTGATAACTTCTTGACTTCTTTCGCATCATCGCCTGCTTTCGGATGTATTTCTTCGTGCAAGTAGACAGCGTACACCAAAGATATGTTCCTTCTTCGATTGTCACGTCTCGGATCCGAATAGACTCCAAATAGCTTGGGTGGTTCCTTGAGATCAACGCCCATTTCTTCCATGAGCTCTCTTTTCACAGCATGTTCAGCTGTTTCATTGACATCCACAAAGCCTCCCATGATTGCCAATTGATCGGTGTCTTTGCGTCGGACTAACCACACATGATTGTCACCTGACCGAATGATCAAATCAATGGCGACATTTGGTGTGCACATGCAATACCCATCGTCTTTACCGCACCAACAAGATCCAGCCCGAGCTTCATTGGGATGCCCTCCGTGCCAGACCATTGCTTTGCCAATCGTTTGATCCACAGAATTGTAAGTCGTGGTACCAATGCCGCCGTCTTTCGAGGGGCTGAAAAAGAAATACAGCATCAGTAGAACATTCAGAGACAATGAAATCTTGAACATTGTATTCCCACTTGTCATATCATCTTGTCTTCGAATTCTCTTGTCGTGCTTTCGATGAAAGAGCATTGTGGCTCATCAAGAGATTGTGTTGGATGAGTTGCATTTTCATTTTTGAGTTTTGTTCTTTTTATTTGGGGGATTGAATATATTTATATGGGGGATTTTATAAGGGTGGAGGGTGGTCGAGAGCAAGATTCTCACAAGTCAAATAATGGAGTCGAGTCTTGTCAACTGTTCTGAATCATGTTGAATGTTCGTTTCGATTCTGGGAGAGCTCATTTCGCTTGCAGACCGTGATCGATACAAATACAATGGCCCAACGCGTTCATCACTTCAAATTGGTACTCCTAGGAGATACTGCTGTTGGAAAATCATGTTTGGTAGTTCGATTTGTCAGAGATGAGTTCTTTGAGTTCCAAGAACCTACTATTGGAGGTGTGTTTCCTTGGTGACATCGCTGATTGGATTCCCTACTGGTTCTACAGGATTTCTACGAAACCAGAATTCAATTCCGGTGACATGTCTGGAAATTGGACCATTTAAACCAAGACGTCAAAGTCTGGTTCTTATTCCATGCAACATGTAAAAGTAGTTTATGAGTCCTGTGGGGATGGGGAATCTGCTATTGCCTTATTTGTCTTGACAAGTGTCGTTTTACAAGATTAACAATCATCATTCAACTGACACTTTTTTCTTTTGTTTTCTTTTTTAACGAAATCGCCGTTTCACAGCTGCCTTTTTGACCCAGACGGTACAACTTGATGAATCCACAGTCAAATTTGAAATCTGGGATACAGCCGGACAAGAACGATACAGATCCTTGGCACCCATGTATTACCGAGGAGCGTCTGCCGCAGTTATCGTGTATGATATTACCAATCCCGACTCGTTCAATGGGGCCAAGTCCTGGGTAAAGGAATTGCAACGCCGGGGAGACCCAAATGTAGTTATTGCATTGGCTGGTAACAAGGCAGATTTGGAATCTAGACGCAAGGTCGAATTTGAAGAAGCTAACGCATACGCGGAAGAGAATGGAATTTTGCACTTGGAGACATCGGCCAAGAATGCTAACAATGTCAAGGCTCTCTTTGTTGAAATTGCCAAGAAGCTTCCAAAGAATCCTCCACAACCTGAGCGCGAAGCATTCCCAATTGCAGCTCCTCAGCAAACAACAAACAACTGTTGCTAGAGGAGTGAGTTTGTCATTCAAACTGTTTTATTCGGAGAAAAGTCAAGTTCGTGATGAACCGGCTTTGAACACGTTGTTTCAATAGATTCATAATATAATAGGACCAACTGTAGAGAGAAAATACAGTAGGGCAGCTTCTTTCGTTTTTGTTATATTTTTGCTGTCCTGATGCTACGTAGCTAAGAACTCCTCAACATGATCCATCCTCCGAATACAGGCACGAGGAATGTGTGTTACGTTACAGCACAGCACAGCACAAAGTAACAAGAGAAGAACTCATACACTAATAAACTGTTTCCAAAATAGTGAGCAGGGTTCTTAGCTTGCAAATCATCTAAATTCAAGACGTCAGGTTCGATAGTGGAGTAGCGGTACCGATAGGCTGGATGCAAATTTGGCACTACCGCCCTTCCGTCGCCCGTCATATCATCTGAAAGCCAACAAAATCTAAAACAGTTTTCTTTCACACAACAAACACATCAACAACAGAACGACCATGAAGGATCGTCGACAGAACAAACGGCCCAAAAAGAACCGAATCCAAAAAGAAGCTTCTCATGATCCATCAGCAGCAGAAGGGAGTCAAGCGGATGAGCCCCCACCGCCCTCCAAGCTCGCCAGTCTATCAAGTGAACAAAAGTGTGCCATGATTGCCGAATTGAGTGAAACCATATTGGAAGATCCCACCAAGGGGTTCAAAAAGGAGCGGGAAACTGCCACAGATGTAGGAAAAGGTGATGATACAACAACTACTGTACGAGTGCCATCCAAGGTGGAAAATCTGTTGGATCTTGCCAGACCTCACAAAAATGGAGGCGACGATTACATTGCGACATTGGGGGTCATGTCGCTACTGGCTATCTTTAAGGACGTGCTGCCATCTTACAGAATTCGATTACCGACAGATGCGGAACGAGCCGGCAATCTGAGCAAGGAAACGAAACAGCTTTGGGACTATGAACGTGCCGTCTTGACCTACTATCAACATTATCTACAACTTTTGGAGAAGCAATGGGAACGAGGTCAAGATGAACCATCTCGTTTGGCTCTGACATGCATGCTGAGTCTTTGCGAACTACTGAAAACTGCCTATCACTTCAACTTTCGATCGAACCTTCTAACCATTGTGGTTCGTCAAATGAACAATCGGTCCTGCGAAAAAGTGAGCGATGAATGTTGCCAAGCAGTGGCGTACGTATTTCAAAAGGATGCTCAAGGCGAAGTTTCCATGGAAGCAGCTCGACTGGTAGCAAAGCTAATTAAGGAGTACAAGGGGGTCTTACGACCGAATGTTGTAAGAACCTTTAGCCGACTGCCATTGCGAGTCCACGTGGACGAAGCCCAAGCCGCCAAATTGGCATCGCAAGCCAACAAAAAGAAACGAAAACGAGATAAGGAACTGGCTGAAATTGAAGATGAATTGAAGGAGGGATCCGGAAGTGTGGACAAGATCGTCTTGGCGCGATGCCAATCGGAGACCTTGCAGTCGGTCATTTTGACCTATTTTCGTATCCTAAAGAGCCCAGATTCTAAGACCAAGAAAGATTTGTTGCCCGTGGCATTAGAGGGACTTGCAAAGTTTGTGCACTTAATCAACATGGACACGGTAGTGGATCTGTTGGACGTATTGAAGCAGCTGCTGGCTGATATTGATAACATGCCCTTGGAGGCATCATTGAATTGCGCATTGACAGCCTTCCAGGCGTTGCAAGGTCCAGGAAGAGAAATGCAAATTGATCAAAAGGAATACATTACGCCACTCTATAGACAATTGGCAAGACTTGGAACAGAAGAAAACAGTCGGCCCAACACAGAACGAATGATAAAATGTCTCACATCTGCCTTTATCAAGAGGCGAGAGTACTCCACAGTCCGCATTGCTGCTTTCATCAAACAAATCTTCACTGTTGCCTTGCATGCTCCTCCCTACACAGGTGTCCCACTAATGGCACTAGCCAGGCAAATATTGCAACGCTATCCGAGCGCCCATCAACTGCTGGACAGCGAATCGGATGTGATTACATCTGGCCAATACACACCGGATGTGGCAGATCCAGAACACTCCAACCCATTCTCGACATCCGCCTGGGAACTAGCCACATTAAAATTCCATGCCAATCCTGCTATCCAGAACCAAGCGGACGCGGCTTCGACACTCCAGCTGCTGCAAATGCCCGGTGAATCTCCCCAACGATTGTGGCCTGACATGATTCGGGATACTGATGAAGTCTATATTAAGTTTCAACAGACCCAAAAACGACATCCACTATCAGCCAAGGGAGATCGCCAACAATATCGATTTGTAAAGCCTCGAAAGACAGAGATTACCTTGTTGGACATGCCTGAGGAGGACTAAGTAGAGTGATATCAAATTCAAAATAGGATACCTTTTGGACGACTTACTGACCGTTGAGAAGTTGGGCTTGGTGACGTAGGCGCCGTAGGCGTGGTACCAAACTGCGTTGTGACGTAATCAGAATTTATTTTCGTGGGGAAGTCGAACGGTTTTTGAAGATGTCCATGGCACAAAACGATTCTGCAAAGTTGTCGTGAATCTCAGCAAGTCTCATTTAGAGAATGCCACCATCCGCCATTGACGATTTCGCTTCCAGTGTCTTAGGAAGCGTAGAGAGCACAGCCAATTCACTGTTGGACGGAGACACTGCTGCCAAAGTAATTGATACCTTTGAGAATACCATGTTGCCTTACCTCGTGGCTACCGCTTCCTTTGCCCACGGTGTGGTCTTTCCCGCTGGTGGTGATAAGGTTGCAGTTCCAGTGCAAGCAATCACCCCAGCCAATAGAGGTGGTGGTGCTCTCACGCCCTACTTTTTTTACGGAATGGGTAGGTTTCTTGTGAAGTTCGTGCGCTAGTTGAAGTTTTGTGTTCTCATACAAATGACTAACGAATCCTTTTTTGTCGTTTTGCAAAAGTGTTTGGAATTGGGCTTTCACACACATTGTACCGCACACGAGTCACGGACAAGTTGCGATTGGCTCTTTATGCTTGGTTATACGATACTCCCAATGATAAGCCTGGTAGTCCTCAAAACCAATACCGTGACCCCACCGCACTTCAAGAGTTGGATGGAACCCCAATGCCAGGTTCGGAAAAGGAAGACAATGCTGGTATTCTGAAGGAATTGTTGTCACCAGACTGGGCATTGACACCCAATCTTCACGTTGCCTTGTTGACTCTTCCATTTGGAGCTGAATTGAACCCCACAAGCGCAACTGGTGTCGAATTCTACTATGTCATTGAAGGAGATGGTACCTACACCCAAACCATTGATGGAAAGCCAGCAAAGGCAAAGCGCATATCGAGCGGAAATGGATTTGTAGTCGACCCCGGAACAATTCGAGGATTTGCTGCCAACGGAAGAGGTCAACTGGTTCTTCTCCGCACCACTGACACTGCCATTGTCGAAGGATACGACGTTAAAACGAACACTATTTCTTCTCCCAAGGCTATTGTCACTGCAGGCGTTGGAAAGATGGAAGAATTGATTAAGAAGTATACCCATAAAGAGGATTTCGAGGAGGTTTCAAAGCCCAGTGGAAACTAAGCTGTTCCGGAATTTGCATTGATGACATTGGGATATTTGGATTTGTGGGAAAAAGTCATGGATAAGTTTTTAAAAAACAACGTAGACGCAATTTGAAGTCGTTACTGTACATGGATAGTATATGCAAGGTCTGAATATTATCTCAGCATAGTAGATCTATTTCCAAATATACTTTATATTATGTAGCAATAAATCTATAACTTGTACTAGACGAGGATGTTTTGTTTTGACCCGCCTTCTTTCATTCAACAAACGCAAATTTTTGCTTTAACCAAAAAAAGCTTCGAAAGATTCTGTGAGCGCTTGGACTGGTGAAAATATGACCCCTTCCTCGCCGTCTTCAAAGTGGTCAAATTCTTCTTCTACATCGTAATCGCCATGGTTGCTGTTGTCTTCTTCCTCTTCGTCCGGCAGAAAGGCAGAGAAACTGTCTTGTTCCTCCGGAAATTCCTGCGGGGAGTCAAGGAAGACTCGACGGGGTACCACTGTTCTATACTTTCGGCGCCCGGTAAGCAAGGATTCCAACTTTTCGTTTTCTGGCGAGGGCGTTGTCTGAGCCAAAGAAATGGGACTTGGGTCGTCTTCGTCGTCACCTCCACCGCTAATCACCTTCACGAAGTCACGGGGCCGGTTCTTCTCCAAGGGCTTCGGAGGAGAATTTGCCTTTGTTACTATCTTGTTGTTCTTTTTACCAAAGCTTCGATTCACTGTGGCATTCTCTTTGTCCCAAGTAGAATATTGTGGTCTGCGTGGGGGTAGGTACCTCTTCTGGTTGGAACGGGACGAGAAGCTTGGAAAGTTTGGAGTTGTATCGCGGGAGGCAAGAGGTTTTTTCTTTGGAGATGAGGAAAAGGATGAGTCATGGAATCGAGACCCTGGAGAGGCAATATTCAAAAAGTTGAAGGCATCTTCAGGTTCCTGAAAGGAGTCTTCTGGGTTATTCCTTCGCAGAAATTCCGATCCGGCGTTACTGATGTACGATATGTTGACGTTGTTGAGTGATTCAAAACTGAGAGTTCTGCTAAGTCCTTCGATGCAGTCTTCTTCTTGGCCTTGGTCGAATGGTGACGAACGATTACCTTCCTCGTCATCGTCATCCTCTTCATCCTCTTCACCAAAATAGTACTCGTCTTCTCTTGTTGACACTATGCCCTGTATGTCTCTGGCTCGTTCGGGAGTTGCAAGGTCCTTTACTCGACTGGTATTAAAGTAGTCACAGCTTGTATCAGTTGCTGCAAAGGATATATCGACCCCAGTTGCGTTCTCGAAGATGGCTGCGAAGGAACCATCAGTATTCACATTCGAGTGGTCCATAAGATAGTTCCATTTTTCATCCGATAGATTTCTCGAAGTATCCGCCTCATTGTTTTCTGTGTCGTCCGACGTCGTCAGCTCAGATGTCTTTTCACCATCGATTCCATATTTCGCCACATGACGCATATGATCTGCCAAGGCAGCCATAGCCCCAATTGACATATTCAAGAAAGACGACCCTTGGGAGCAGACCGATTGAAAGTCATCTGACGACGAACCACCGCCACCACCACTGCTACCTTTGGTCGGAAGTACGAAGGCATTTTCAAGAGAGGGAAAATTGTTGCGGCAAGATTCTGAGAAGGGATTCGAGCTTCGCTGTGATTTGGGGTGCAGTGGAGGAGATTCTTCCGTCATGAGAGTTTCCAAATATCTTGTGATTGCAATTGAGATGACCTCTTTTCGGTTGGGTGGAAACTCAACTGATTTTGTGTCGATTCAAAAATTATTGATCGGCAAACTCGCAATTTTGAAAACAGCACCCGGATATAGCTCGAGAAAATACCGCGCCTTCCTTTCTCCGAATCTCCAACTAATCGTGGTGTGAATGTCATCAACAAAACAGCGAAATCATCGCATCACAATCATTCTCACCGGTGTCATCTCACGATGAGCTCCTTTCTACGAGTACAAAGGCTGGCTGCCAGAGTGACCAGAACAAATCCTCTTTCCCATTTGACTTCGGCATATCCAACAATGACCGCAGCCTCTACTTGGACAAATATGCCTACTGCCTCCACGATGATGGCAGTTCGATCCTTTCATTCCACAGATCCAGTATGGATGCCAGTTCGACGTCGCAGACGTGCTCGGCAGACAGAGAACGAAGAAAAATCGGAGGGTCAACCAGCAGAGAATCCGCTGAAGCATGTGCCGATGACAGATACTTTGGCCTTCTGTCACGAAGCAAGTGCGTTGCTGACAAAGCTTCAGAAGGCTTTGGAACCGATGAAGGCACAAAATGATACATTCATCGTGACACGGGTGGATGGTGATATAGGAGAGATCATGACGATTGACTTGGGCCCGAAAGATGGATCTTATCGTATTGAGATTAGCGAAATGGAACACATGTTCGAATATACAAGTCCCATTAGCGGGAAGGTTTTGTATGTCCTAAGTGACGAAACGAAGGAATGGGTTGGAATCGAAGATGGCCACTCCTTTGAAGGCTTGCTTGTTCGAGATTTAATTCGCCAGTGCCGCGGTCTGCCTGATTTGTAGGGAGCATTTAGAAGGCTATTGTGGTGAATTCGTATTCAATCAAGCGTCAATATTATCATAGTGCAATTATTGCATTCCTGGGAACTCGAACGCCGGTCTATGAAGTGCAAGTTTCCACCTTAGTTCTCCCTCAGGTCCCCCCTTTAAAAAACCCTCTAGTACCGCAACGCTCACAACGGTTGTGTCCATTTCGGTAGGTTGATCTCCCTTTTCAGATTCATTGTCATCGGACGCATCGTTTCCTCTGTCAATGGAAAAATGAGATGTCACGTCGTACAAAACTTCCAGTTGAGCAGCCACGTCTGATTCTTGCTCATCTCCTTCTGCGTTGTCACTAAGAAAGTCATCTAGAATTTCATATCGGGGTCCACTTGACTCCGGGTCTTCATCATTTGACTCGTCTAGTGGCAATTCCTTGCATCGGAACGCCCTTGCACTCAATAGTGCTACATTGTTGACTGTACAGCTGCCTTCGTCAAATTTGAGTTGGCCTGCTCGGCTATGTAGCAGAAACGCTGTCTTAGCACTCAATTGAAAGTGCCCAAACAGCTCGTCTGTCAGCATTCGCGAAAGCTGGCCTGCCACCGATTCAGGCTCTTTCTTTGCCACCTCTGTCCAGTCATGCTCCAAAACAGCCGAGGCAATCTTTTGGTCTGGTGAAAGGTGCTTCTGTATCATGTTTATCGTTGAAGTGACAGCATCCTTTTCTTCTTCTGATAAGCCTTTCATCTCAATTTTTGTAGCATCCTTTTCTTCGCCACTATCCTCGTTGCTACCGTCGACATCATCTTGCTTCTTTGCATAGATGTCGTGTAGCTCGTTTTCCAGTGCGCCCGAAAGGTTGTGGTAGTTTTCAAGTGCTGGCCCAACACCCTCCAAGAATTGGGTAGCATCGAAATCGTGCTTCTTGAACATAGGATTTTGAAGATCATAGAAGAGCGAAAGCATCAGCATTGGACCAGAAGAGGCCTGTGCTATCACGCTTTCATTGATTGTTCCCTTTTCAAGAGAACTGATAAATTTTTCCCTACTTTTTTCATCTATCAGCGCGAAAGCTCCTTGTGAGGCACTGACGAACATCTGAAAGAATGACCGGGGTGGGATTATGAACCCACCCACTGCTTTTCTATATACGTTTGGTATGTTCATCTTTTGACAGCTGTTGTGAGATGTAATTGGTACAGTATGACCGTTTTCCACACATTCTTGCCAACACATTTTCGCAATCTGAAATCGGTTGAGTCAGTCAGTCCGAAGGGGACGTTTCAGTTCCGTCGACAGACGGACAGTCCATCATGTCACCTTTTATTGCCTTTCAGACTTTCACGATGATGCAGTCTTACGTCTTACTGTAGGTACTACCTGCTACCAGGGCACCCGAGCACAGTACTGTCTACTGGGTGCCCGCAACGGCAAAAGTACACATGTCGAATGAATTCTACTTCGTGTTTTATTAGTAAAATAGAAGCTACATGGTTCAGCAGGAACCAAAAATGTACAGTACACTTCCAAGTCTTGACCACCGAATTTCTTAACAGGCAATCTCAAGCTTTCGACTTGGTAAACATTAGCAAAGTCTTAACCTTGATGGTACTAGAAGGAATGGTATTCTTCCCAGAATAAAGTCTCGTGTCGGAGCGCTCTTTCGCATGGCTGGAGCCCAACTAGCTCTGCGAGTGGATGTTAAAAAGACGCAAAGAAGGAGGTGAGATTGTATCGAACAACAAACGAAAACATATGACATAGATAGGATTACCCACCCTCTGATTTCGGATGATGCATCTGCGTGAGACATAGCGAGTTATTGAAATGGGGGAGGTGATCTTCGTATGGCTGAAGTACAAACTTGCTCAAATTTGTAATTGGCATCCACAGCTGTTTGTAGTCCGTGTTGTTGCATGTCTTGAGCTCAAGGAATGTGGTATTGAGAGTCGAAAAACATAGATGTGTAGAATCCACACGAATTTGATCCCCGGATCCTACATTCTTGACAATGTTGTATTGGTAGTCACGGTTGTCTCGCTTGCATCCCATGATCCAAATGTTATCATTCTCCATGCAGGAAGTTGTGTTTGGTCCTGGAATTGTACAGTTCGCTTCGTCACCATCACCGAGAGTATAGTTCGAGCATCTCGTGCATTCCATGCACCACCACGATTCTTCGAAGGCCTCTTGCCAAAAGTACAATGGATCATAGAACAGTCGCAGTTTGAATTTGTAAAAAGCATCCCAGCCTGACCAAGGCCTTGGTGGCTTGGGATCAGCACAATAGTCTTTCGCTTTCTCACCGGCACCTTGACAACCCGGGACAGGTTCGAAATCGTCTCTCGGCATACATTGAAGATCCCCTTTGCAGTCCTTATCCCCGTCGCAATCCCCTTGGCACATGCTCAAGGGAAAGACCTCGGGAGGCCACTGATTGTCGCCAACTATTTCTAGAAAAGGTTTTGTCGCATCGTCTTCTTCCAAAAAATCATCCAATGTATATTGATCAGCAGTTCCCACTCGAGTAGTATTCAGTAACCCTAACGAAATCTGTGACGGCGATGCGCTTTCTTGGGCAGATGGTCCCGATGACCCTGACGGAACAAGTGACGGTGATGCACTTGGGCTGGCAGATGGTTTCCGTAACTCTGACGGAACCAGCGACGGCAAATCGCTTGGAACGTAAGATGGATCCGAAGAAGGTGCAATGGAGTGTGATGGAACGGAACTCGGTTCCTGAGTGGAAGGTTCTACAGAAGGCGCCAAGGATTGTGATGGGATGGAACTCGGTATGCTGCTACTGGATGGTAGCATTGAAGTTGACGGAATCATACTTGGTGATGATGATGGAACTGAACTCGGCATTGAAGTGGATGGCATGGAAGACGTTGTCGGTTGGGGAGTGGGGAATGGGAGGCATGGTGACGATTCTATTATCCGTTGCAAGCCACATGGCGTGAATGTTTTGTGAACAATGAGACATGACATGTAATCATTTTCGTTTTTCCATGCCACTCCATCAAAATCCGCTGCACAGTCACAAGAAGCAAGTATTTCGTCAACATCTTGTTGGTGACAGGTTGGATCCGGCCCAGCAACATCGACTTTCTTTTTTGCGACACTGAATCTGAGACCGATATCCCGCCGTCGAACATGGGACTCTGGCACACTGCTGCCAACAAGAGGTAGCAGCAGTAGATACAGTCGGAGGATTGTCATTGCAGTGATGATTCTTCTATTGTGGAAACTTGTTCGATGAGGTTGATACGACATTGAAAGTCGTCGTGATTAGACGCAAGATTTGCTCGCGTGAGATTTGAATCCGTGTCACTGTCTCTAAATGCACGGTTTTTGAAATAGGTTTACTTAGGACACCTGGAATACACGACTAAACCACTCCACATTTTCCTGCATAGCTTGGAGGATCATCAACTGCCGTTACAATGTAGAAGTGTACACGGGTAAACGTACTTGTACGCCTTCAGTGCTACCAGGGTAGGTGTACAGTACATGTACAAGAGAAATATGCATGGTAGACAAAGATCAAATGCAAAAAATTCTAGACTAGACTTTTCTTTTGAAACTTTCAAAAAGACACATCGTGTGATGTGATGTGATTGATTGATTGATCATTCATCATGAATCGTTCCCACAGATTCCTCCCGAATTGTGATGTTCGCCCTCTGCCATGCTCAGCAAGGATTGAATGGTCATTAGCAAGGCACTCAATAATACAACCCCTCCTATTGAGAATGCAATGTAAGAGTTACGTTGCGCTCGCTTCATTAGAATGGACAAACCAATTTGACCAAAGTATGTAGCAACAAGTCCAATCAGGAAACATATTGGACCATATTGACGGTCTAGTAGACCAAAGACAAAGAAGGAAGTCGTAGCCGTAAAACTTGTAAAGAGAATCATACAAGCTGACGACGCTGATGCAACTGCTGGGTGACTGTGTTTTGAAACAGATGGATGGATTGACGAGAGAAAAAGGTTGAGATGTTGTTGTTTCAACAAACAAATGATGGCTCATTCAGCACCTCTATACCAATAACAGTAGCACTTACACTCCCATTGCCAACATTAGTGGTCCCTTGACAATTCCTCCTCCCACTCCAAACATTCCAGCAAAGAAACCAGCCAGACAACAGATTCCAGGGTACACCACAGTCGCCCTCTTATCCCATTGGATATCCCCTTCCACGTACTTGTAGCCAACTCGTGCCTTTGTTTCAAATCTCTTGACCAGATAGGACCGAGCATACCATGTAATGAACAAAATCCAGATCAACATGCCGAGATTCGTAGCCCAGAACATTCCAGATCCACACTGGATTCCAATCGGTGAAGGAAAGGCACCACCACCCTTCATTAAATTCATGGTCAAAATAACCACAAATAGTCCAATGAGTATATTGATGTTCATTTTGGGGGCAAATCTTTCTTCTTCCAAGATTACCGCAAGTTCCGCAGAGTAATTCTTTTCGTTTTCCTTTTCGGATGGGGATTCCCCTTCTTGTAGTTCCATATTCTCCACAAGGTCACTAGAAGAAGCGGCTTGATCTTCTGCCTCTTCATCATTCTTGATTTGGGTCAATTCACTCGTCTTGGTTCCATCTGGTTTAAATCCTTGTTCTCTCATTTTGATCGTCTCCAGTTTGTACATTTTGATAGCCTTTTTCAGTGTAGTGTAAGCAGTAAAGGACAGCAACAAGACTAGCATGGTCACTAGAAATTTCTCGGGAAGAATCTTGTTGAGAAAGGCACCCATGAGAGCTCCCGCAATGGTCAATGGTTCCATGACCAAAATCAAGTCCCAATCCACCAATGGTCGATCGGTGAGAGGGTGTCTCTTTTTGGCATTCAAAAAGGAATTGGCAATGGCTCCACCAAAGACTGTAATGTTACTCAATGGAATGGCATGCTTGGGTGTAAAGCCCATCACTAGGATATAAATTGGAACCAGAACACCACCACCACCGATACCTCCTCCGGCCGCAATCATGAGCCCCACAATGGCACAGGTAAAGCCAATCTTATCGGAAAATGACAGAGGCAACAAATTCTTGTGCGCCTCCTCGTAGACATGTTTGTGGTGGTGGTGATGTTCAGATGATGCTGATTCTGAAAGCAAACGATTCCAATCAAACGTTTCACCGCTCTCCAAAGAATAATAATGAGAGGCATTCTCCCCTTCCTCTTTTGATGCAAGTGCCAATGCGGCGGCTCCCACCACCGCGGTCAACACGAGCAATGCCCATGGCATTGCTAGGTGGACTAGTTCACGGCGGGTGCCACTGGCAGTGTGCAAGCCAGTCTTGGGTTCCGATTGTCGCATTGTGGCTGTTGCTTGGTCCATTGTGTGTTTTGGACGACGACGCCTTGGTGAAATTCCCTCTACTACTCTGAATGATCTGTGATGGAGGTACGTGAACTATCAGGATTATTGATTAGATCCTGCAATGCCTCCGATGGATTGCGGAGACTTTCGTTCGAAGGGAGGAATGACGAAATGGTCTGGTCGTCTCTCCGCATCCCCAAAATCTCAAATCCTCTCTTTTGACTCGGGAGTGAATCGCGCCAGCCGACCTTTAGTTAGGGATTTTCAACGCATAGCAACACGCTCATTGGCGTCTTGCTCGTCATGATCCAAACGGACATTGCAAGTCTTGCCCTTTCTGGAGGAAAAAGAAGATAGTGTAGTTGCAACAGGAGCAATCCCTTTCCATTTCCCATCATTGAACAACCTCTGTACTATTATAACACAAGATAGAGATTAGCCACCATGATTTCAATGATAATGATTTTGAATCAAAAGGGAGACGTAATGATCTCCCGACAATATCGGTAAGTTAAATAGTTGTTGTATTGAGAGTGCAATGGGAATGCCGCCACTATTGCGCGTCAATGAATGAATGAATGTGGAATAATATTCTAACATGCTCTTTCCTCTTTACTACTACTCTGTAGTGACGATGTCAGCCGTGCAGAAGCAGATGCCTTTCGATTGCAAGTAAGTAGCGATAGTTTGATTCTACACCCAAGTTGTCCGTTTAGATTGCAATCGAAATAGATGGGGAACTTGCCGAATCCATGATGGATCCAACCAACTGTTTGCTGACTCTCTATTTCCATCCATTGTTCTATCCTATCTATTGATTGTAAACAGGTCATTGCCACCAAGAATACAGGCACTGAATCCCCCGTCAAGCGCATTGAAAACTGCTCCTTCTTGTACACACGTCACTTGAACATGTTCTTTGTGGCGGTGACAAGATCCAACGTCAATCCAGCCTTGGTCTTTGAATATTTGTATCAATTCATTCGTATCCTAAAAGGATATCTCGGTGACGACTTTGATGAAAACGCAATGAGAAATAACATGACACTGATATACGAACTCTTTGATGAGACTATGGACTTTGGGTACCCTCAAAATTGTGCCGTGGACGTTTTGAAATTGTACATCAATCTGGGAGATGTCAAGCCCAAGGATGAACCCGCACCCTCGCAATTAACAAGTCAGATTACTGGAGCTATTGATTGGAGACGTGAAGGAATTCGTCACAAGAGAAATGAAGTCTACATTGATGTGTGGGAAAGCGTCAATCTTCTTCTTTCGAGTACCGGAGTTGTTCTTCGTAACGAGGTTACTGGGGCTGTTCAAATGAATACAAAGTTGACTGGTATGCCCGAGTGTAAATTTGGATTGAACGATAAGCTTGTGATTGAAAAGGAGGGACAGAGAAAACCTGGGGTAGAAATTGATAACTGTACCTTTCACAGATGCGTGCGATTGGGAAAGTTCGATGCGGATCGTACCATTACCTTCATTCCACCGGATGGCGAATTCGAATTGATGAGATATCGTGTCAATGATAACATCAACTTGCCGTTTAGATTTATTCCAGCAGTGCAAGAAGAACAAGGAAATACCAAGTGAGTACAAATGGCGAAGTCCACAATGCAGCAAGAAGAAGATTTGGAAGGAAACTATGGTTCTGACACATGATTTATTTTCCTTTTGCAGGGTTACTATCAACTTGAAAATCATTGCCAACTTTTCGGATCAGCTGTTTGCAACAAACGTGGTGATCAAGATTCCAGTTCCAAAGAACACTTCCAAGGCCAAGATCAAGCATAACTTTGGTCGTGCAAAGTATGAACCAGAGCAACAAGCGATTGTCTGGCGTGGAAAGCGATTCCCAGGAAAATCAGAATGTCACATTCAAGCAGATGTTGATTTGATGCCAACTACTAGACCAAAGCCATGGAGCCGACCACCAATCAGTGCCGAATTCCAGGTTCCCATGTTTACATCCAGTGGAGTTCACGTTCGTTTTCTGCGTGTCTATGATAAGTCTGGATATCACACCAACCGATGGGTACGATACATTACAAAGGCTGGAAGCTATCAAATTCGAATCTAAGAGGGCAATCTGCCCCAACATCTACTTTGTGTGTGTGTCTCGAAAACAATACCAATATTTGCTGTTCTACAATAGTATCCATCATCATAATTTGCAAACAATACATAACCTGCAAATTTCATAACTTTAGAAGTCTGCTTTCGTTAGCCTTTTACTCTTTCCCCTTTTCTAGCGAGAGCGGCTTCGGGATCTAGAAGGTGAACGTGAACGTGACCTCGACCCAATGGATGATCTGGAAGAACTTCGACTATAGCTGCTGGAGCGAGATCTTCCACGGCCACGAGAACGTCCCTTGCGAGCTGGAGATGCCGAAGGAGAACGGCTGCGCTTTGCCTTCTTCTTCTCGGCACGTCCTCGCTTTGCTTCTTCCTCATCTTGTCCCTTCTTCTTCTTGGCTTTTCCATCACGGCCTTTTGGACTTCTGGAAGGTGACTGCCGCTTGCGATCACGAGATTCGGATCTAGACGGTGAACGATCCCGTCGTGATTTCTCCACCTTCTTGGCCTTTGGTTTCTTGTCACGACTATCTTCACTTGGAGAGTGAGAGCGTCGCCCACGGGAAGGAGATCTCGAATCTGAGGGCGAGCGATCACGTCTCGACTTTTTGACACTGTCCTTGCTCTCCACCTTCTTGGCCTTTGGTTTCTTGTCACGACTGTCTTCACTTGGAGAGCGAGAGCGTCGCCCGCGAGAAGGAGATCTCGAATCGGAGGGTGAGCGAGAGCTTCTCGACTTTTTTACACTGTCCTTGCTGTCCACCTTCTTGGCCTTTGGTTTCTTGTCGCGACTGTCTTCACTTGGAGAGCGAGAGCGCCGCCCGCGAGAAGGAGATCTCGAATCGGAGGGTGAGCGAGAGCTTCTCGACTTTTTTACACTGTCCTTGCGCCCTTCGTCTTTGGCTTCGTCCCCTTCTTCGCTCTTTTTCTCCTCTCGCTTTCGGTCATCACTAGTTTCCTTTACGACCTTTTTGCGACCCGAGCTCGGCGATCCCTCGCGTTTGGAACGCTTTCTTCTGCTTTTGTCCCGGCTATCTCGACTGGAATACGATCCGCTTCCAGAACTGAGTGATCTCTTTCGGTCAGTACGATTCTTTCTCGACCGACCTCGGCTTCTAGATCTCGAGGAACTGTACGAGCGAGAGCTGTAGGAAGTATGCGAAGAGTAAGAATCCGAAGAGTAGGAGCGGCTTCTTGACGAATAACTGCTGTAGCTGCTTCGACTGGACGAGGAGTAGGATCTAGATCTCTTGGATCGCCCTCTTGTCTTCTTTCCGCCTCGTGAACTAGATGACGAAGACGATGAGGAGTACGAGCGAGATCTGCGTCTCTTGGATCTTCCTCGCTTTGATCCTTTCTCCTTCTTATCTTTCTCCTTGTTTTTCTTTGCTTCAGCCTTTGCCTCCTTCTTGGCAAGTTTCTCAGCCTTCTTGCGCTCCTTTTCAATCTTTTTTCGTGCCTTCTCTTCTTCTTTGCGAACCGCTTCGTGCTTGGCAATGCGTTCCTGGCGTTTCTTTTCTTGCAGTTCCCGATCAAAGGCAGCACCCTCCACGTGGTCAGTTCTTCGAATGCCAAAGGCATCTCGCAAACGTCTATTCTCTGCCTCCTTTCTCTGGGCTTCTACATGAGTGTTTTCAGATTTATAATTCCTACCACCTCCACCCCGACCCCAGCCGCCACGACCACCGCCACCTCGATCCCAGCCGCCTCGACCACCTTCCATTCTCCTTCCGCGAAAGGGACGATCGCCAGCAGCTTTTTCTGCCTCATCTTCATCCTTCCAAATTCGTTCTTGTCGACTGCGCTCCTGTTGTACCCGCCGTTTGATTTCCTCCTCTGGGAAGCGTTGATCTTCCAAGTCTTCTTGCAACTCGAGCAAGCGATTCTCCAATTCTCGCTTGCGCATGTGCTTTTGAATATCCGCATTTCCTTTTTCACGAGCTGTAGCTGAAACTGGTTGATAAGGCTTGGGACCTTGTGAGACATTCATTTCTCGTTGCCTTCGCAAACGAGAGCCTCGGACATGACTACGATTGGCTTGGACATGGCCTGAGGTTGCTGTTCCTCGGACTGTCGCTACTCCAATGCCATTGTACATGATGCAACAGAGCAAGCGCTACTGCAGTAAGAAACGGCAAGGGATTGTGATGGAATCTCAACTGATGAAACTAACGAAAAGTGTTCTTCTCAAGGGTCGAGAGCTGTTTTTTGTGTTGAACAAATCTGGGGCTTCAGGCTCCGTGTGAGTCGCACGAAGGACACACGGCATACAAATCTCAAATCTACAACTTCCTTCTACAGTATCTCTAGTGTCAACACAGTCGGTACACTGCCACCAGGGTAGTTGCATATGCTATTCTATGTCCTGATGTTTATAGCGAAATCTATCTAGCTGCATTATTTCTCTGCCTTTAGTGAAAACCTTGGCCCCTTGTTCCTCTCACAATCTTTGGTTGCCTAACAATACTGCTTCCAATCATGATGATTGTTATTCTTCATGGGCCCCCCCCCCCAACTAGTACAGTCATGATTGGGAAGCAGCAACTGCCCTAAGAACGTCTGCTTCAGCAGCTGTCACTACCTCCAATTGTTGCCTTCGGCTTTCCTTCTTGGTGGGAGATAGTGACTGATAGGAAGCAATGATAACTTGAGTATCTCGATTTCTCAGATACTCTGGATCCAGTTGGAAGGTGCTCCACAAATGTTTGGGCGGTTGTATCTGCTGCTGCTGACTGCTATTTCTTGGCGCCTTTTTCCTAGGATCAAATACTAGGAAACGGTCATTCTGTTCGTGATAGCCCACAATCGTGACTGCGTGTCCTTCCCATTGGAGGTATAACGGCAAAACAGGGCAGTCACAGGTTTCCTCAATGGACAAGGAGGCCTCGGCAAACTGCAAGAGCTTATTGGCCATGGCGGCACTATCAAGCGTAATATTCTTGCCCGCGTCACCGCTTTGAATGGCTGTACTACCTTTAATGGAACCACCGCCACCCCTATCGCCGGCACCACAGCAACAAGGGCAATCTTCCTTTCCCAAGGCCTTGGCAAAGTACGACTTGACAAAGATTGGTAACAGTCTTCGAGATTGATGACACGTAATGAATTGGATCACGGTGGCATCCAACCCCCAATAGGCCATGACCGATGAAATTTCCAAAGCCCCCAGTTCCCCTGATTTTCCAGTCTTTCCCAAAATGCGCCGCTGGTAATGCCGAGCCCCCTGTGGATCGTACCCTTCTTTCCAGGCTTGTTCCAAAGTCGATTGTATTTGACCAAGACTGGGAATTGCCACGTAGGAACCCCGTCTCGGTACGACTTGATAGTAGGCATGATGGATCGGCAATCTTGGCAAGAGTGCGGTCAATACCATTTGCAGGCTGCGATATCCGCAACTCCAATTTTCGTGTTGTTGGATCCATCGAACCGTAGACGATGGTACTGCTGATGTGGCTGTTTGGCTCTTTCTTTTGGCATATGGATTGGTGGCGCTGGCAGTAGTAGCAGAGGGACGACCCTCATCACCACCATGATGTCGGGTACACAATTTGGCGAGAAATGGGGGATTAGATGTCTGATTGAGTTGACATAGTAGGTCCATCATTCCTTCTTGTAGGAGGCCCGTATCCTTCACCCTTTTGTCTTTTTCCAAGACGATTCGAATCGTCGATGAAAGTTGCGGCGTCGTGGCGGGAAGGGAAGTAGCAGCTGTTGGAAAAAATGATGAGGATGATGCTGACGATGCAGCACTGGACACCGTAACATGTTCTTGGACTTCGTTTTGAGTGTCGCGTGATGAGCCTTGCCCGCCCCCTCGAAACTTCTTTTGTCGCGGCATCTTTTTTGCATTGTCCAGATGGATGGAAGACAAATTATTCTCATCAGCGTGATCATTGCCCGACGAGTCTTCCGTCAAATCGATTTCAGCAGCTCGTTTTCGATCGGGCAAGATATAAGCGATTTCACTGCTGTTGATAACATTGACGACATCGTTACATGTGCTGGAGACATTGTTAGTGTTGCCAGAATTCCCCATTCGGTCCAGTGACACCCTCCCCCCTGATCCCTGATCTTCAAGAACTTCATCGTCGGAAGAACACAAGTCAATTACTTCCAAAGCGGTGTGCGTTTCTGACATATTCACAGTATTGGTTACTCTACAAAGATTGAATGATTCTGTTCAAGGCATCTTTTCTCCTGTAGAGTATTGTCTGAATGTGGATCAACTTGGGTTCTGCTACTTCTACTTCTAGTGGTTGTTTTTCTGGGTTTGTTTTTCTTCTGTGAAGTCCGAAGTTGATAGCAATCGAAGTGGTCAACGAATGAGCTTTGGCTGGCGCGCGCGTCGCGCACTGGTGCGCAAAAATTCAGAATTGAAGCGGGGTTGACACTTCTTCCAAAACACACATTACACTTTGCATCATCGTTGTGTGGAAGGGAGCTAAGCTGTACTCTACTACATAACGATACTGGACCTTTGTTAAAACCATAAATATTTGACAGCAGCATTGGATATCTTGACACCTGACGTCAACACATCAACAACAACAACCACGACATATCAACAGTGAAACACCAAACAAAACATAAAAACAAGACACAAAACATGACAACTTCAATAGTTCGAATTGGCCCCATGACCACAATGGAAGTGAGTAGTGCACAATTACTCCGGACAGCATTGGTATCCCATTGGAAACAGCATCATCCATCTCCCGAAGAGCAAGGCGAAACCTCTGCGGATGAAAACAAACTCTTGCCCATTTCCAACAAGTACTTTACGGCAAATTTGTTGTTGGAAGACATGGAAGCTGAGGCAAACGAAGCGATAAAAGAAGACGCCGCCATTTTGGTCTTTGACATGTTGGCATCCAATCCAGATCGTTCGGGTGGTGTCCCTGGAACCACCTTTAATTCCTTGCAAGCTGTACATGACCAGGCATTGGCCAAGGATACCTGCGGGGATTTGTTGCGACTGTGTGTTGGCGTCACCTTGACGAGTCTAAGTCCCCAAGAAGCACGTGGAGAAAAACATGAAGATGAATACTCGAGGCGAATTTTGTGGTGTTTAGATCATGGATACGAATATGTGGAAGCTGACTTGTCCCAAGAAGGTCAAACGAAGGGACACGATGATCGAGACAAGGATGGATTTGCCCGGATTGTAGAAGCCATGCAAGGTACTGTTTGGTCTGGCGCAGTCATGAAGGAACGCCAAGCCACCAAACTGCAAGCTTCTTACGACCAAGATGCCAATGACATTAAGAAACAAGACGACGACAATGAAAATCCCTATGTTCCACCAGATCCATCCCTCCTCATGGCAATCCCCAAAGATGGAGAATCTCCTACAAGTGCCCCAAGTACTCCCAATCGAACTGCTGAAATGGAACGCCTGCGACAAGAAATTGACGAAGACAAGGTATTTGATGAAATGGAAACGGTACTACGAGAGGCCTCCAGAATTCGAGAGCAATCCAAATGTGGACAATTGACAGATGACGAACGAAGGGCCAAGGCAGAATCGGCAGCCTTGCGGTTGGTCGATCTCATGAATCATTTTGGAATGGAAGATGAGGGAGGAGAAGGCGAAGATGGTGGATCAATTGCAGATTCGGACGATTCAGGGATTGTAGCGTCATCATCATAATGTTTGTGTGTGGATTGTAGTTGACTGGAAAGTGTATACTAATAAATTAAAAGATGTGTCTTTGTGCAAAGTAGGTATGATAGTTTTAGGTACTAGCCAGAAGAAGGACATGCTGCAAAACTAGCTGAAGGGAATGATACCCGTTTTGTTTCATGCTTACAACGTACAATCCAGCAGTAGTCCTAGCTACTAGCTGTTATTACTATCAATAATAAATTCTCTATCGGTACATGGCGTCTGCCTTCTTGCTCTCCCGTTCCATCAAATCTAGTGGTCGCAATATGTTATGCTTATTGGTTTCCACAACATTTCCATTCATTACCATCTCATCCAACAAAAAGTGCACTTGTTCCAATTGATACATGATATCCAACTCGCAAATTGATCCAGCCCACTTGTCCATGGTTTCCACCAACGTGTGGATAAACTCCAAAAGCCCCAATTCATTCTCGGGATTTTCTTCTTCATCCGGACTAGGTTTGGTCCCCACAATGAAAAACAAACTGGCATATCTTCTGTAGACCACCTTGTAGCCACGGTATTCCAAAAAGGAACACTGGAGTTCCGAACGGCTCAGGCATTTGCGGACGATTTCACTTTCAAGGGCGGCTTTTTCGGCCACTGGAATCCATTCGTAATACGAGGACAAACGGGTCTGGCCCTGTTTGTTGCTGTTACATTTGTTATTGTTGAGTGATCAATGAATAGGTTGTATGTGAGTCACGTGGTTAATTTTCTTGGGATAATAATAGCAACAAAAGTCCTGAAAGAACTCGTGGCAAAAAGAAGACGAATGGGAATCGAAGATGACTTACACCATGAGAAGAAATGAAATTGGCATGATGACACTATTCGCGTTCTGCCTGAATGATCTTAGTTGAAATACTGTATTTTCACGAGCAACAATTCCAAGATTGACTGCTTGGCAGAAATTGATTGATCATTGCCAATTCCCTTCCTCTGCTTTCGATTTTCGGGCGAGCAAGCAAGTCATTTCGAAAAAGAAGAAGTCGCACGAGTCAAATCCCAGGTCAAAATCTCAATTAATAATCTAGTCAAATTCAAATCATCCAACTATACCCAACTCACCACTCCACCAAGCCAACACTTTACAACACAAAATGTCACGAGAAGTGCAGAGTGCATCACCATACCCATGGGGAGATGACCAAAAGCACGTTTCCCACCCGCCTTCTATTAAACTGCTGCAGGGAGAACGATACGTTGGAAGCGGATTTGCAGCCTTGGAACATCAACTGGGTGACAACGACAACTCGGAAATGGACGAGAATGCCAAACTCATTTTGAACAATCTACTGCAAGAACACAATGTGAATCTACTTGACTCTAGCAATGATGATAAGAGGTCTGAGACCGAGAAGCAAAACGCACATGGGGTTTACACGGGAATCATTCGACCTCCGAAGCGAAGCAAACTACCATCAGAGGTTTCTGCCCCCAAGGATATCTTGGAGCTCGCTCGGGACGGCAAGGTATCCGTCTTTTCCTCCTTGTTGGATACCGTCGAGTCAAGTAGTATTCAGCCTGTCCCAACCAAAACACTCATTCGAAAATGCTGCTTGACGATACCGCCCGGCGATTCGCCAGGATCGATCGATGCCAAGGATTACATTTTGGGAGCTCTTCATTTCCTTTCCTCGCAATTTGAAAGTAGTAGTGAAGAGAGATATCCATCACTACCTCTCATATATCCAGTTCAGTTGACTGGCGATGTGGAAAAGCGAAACTACGAAAAGGTGGGGGAATGGAAATTGGACGAAATACAAGACAAAGTGCTGTTGCTGGAACAAGTGTTCACCTCATCACCCAATTCCTGGAAGTGGCTGAGGCGAGAGAGTTTTGCACCAAGGCTCGAAAAAGAGGAAGAAACCGCTTTCTTTGTCAAGGGAGCCATTCCAGCCCGAGCGAAAAAGATCAAAACGGAAGCGACGACGGGTAGAAAAAGAAAAACAACGGCATCCGCAGCTGCATCACCGGTAGCATCTTCTTCGAAATCGATGCCTGCAACCGAGTCTCAGTCCAAGGAGGCAGACGAACAAGAAAGGAGTACAGTGGAGTAATAGATTATGAAAGTAAATATTTTGCCATCATCTGTAGCGTCTTCTCAATCCTACCTTGTACCGGTAGTCCTCGTACGAGTCCAAGTAGAACGAGGCAGGCAAATAAAAAAGTAGCATAGTGGAATATGAAATTGTAAGTTATGAATATTTGTCCACCACTGCTGCTTGTTCTCAATGATTCGCATTGCCAAGGAGCTAGACGAACAAAAAGATTACGTGGAGTAATTCTTGTTCTCATTCTTGTGCTTGCATTCCCGCGGCAGTACGGTACGTCCATCGTACGCAGAAAACCCTTTTTACAGTACACGTGCACGATCGCGCAGTAGGTACATTTCCGAGATTCATTCACTCGGCATCAACGCCACCAAAAAGGACGTTCAAAACTCCGACCAACAGTTCGTTTCTTCCACAACACTCGAAACTACCAAAACCGTCGATCACCCTTTTCAAAGGGCCAAAATGGATCCCGGTCGAGTAAAAGCGTACTTACAGGTCGCATGCACTGGATTGGGGTTTGACATTGGAGAGATTTGGTGGGCGACCGATGACAATGGATCGTCTTCTCGTCTCCTGAATGTGGGTGAGTTTTTCCCATTCTTCTTCCGACATCAAAAGCGAACTTGATTGGGTATATTGTGTCGCATCTTGCGTTATTTGTCGGCCTTGTGTCCAAATCGTGTCTTGTTACTTATGGTTTTGCCCCTTTTTCTCCAAAACAGAACCACCCACTGCACCAGGCAATGATGGCAATGGCGATGAAAGCGGGAAGTACAAGTTCGTGCAGTTATACACATCCAAATCGTATGAGAACCGAAGACAGATGCTGGTTAGACCAGCGGAGGAAGAGAATGAGAGTGAAACGGCTTTGGTCGCTATGAATGGCCAATCACGACCGTCGCAAAAGGAATCGGTGAAGCATGTATTGTCTCCCTTGTTGGTTGATGCCATCTCCAAGACAGCGCAGGTTGTTTGGGCACACACAAAGAAACAGGAGGGTCTGATTGGGCGGTCCGATGTTCGATTGCAAACAGCGGTGGGAATGCCAGTTGCGGTCGACGGGAATGGAAATATGTGCGTGGTGGTAATGTTCTCTCCGAACATTATTCAAAGTTCCGATGACGCTTTGGAGTATTTGCAATCCATCAGTAAGGGTGCCACATCCACCTCCATTCCAGCCATGCTTCCCGCGTTTGATCCAAAGCAAGGTTTAATTTCTCTCCCGCATCACCACAATAATAACCAAATCATTCCACTTCTTTCCGATCCTGCCATGGCCAATGGAGTCACCACACGATTTGTCTCGTTGGATGAAAAGACATCCGAAGTCTTGTCACTACCAGAAGTTCACAGTACGCGTGATTTGTCAACGGCACCAAAGGATTGCTTTGGAATTCCCATGCTTCCAAACGCTTCGGAAATCGAAGGGAATCCATCCAACAATGCCACGGAGAGTTCAGTTTCGGATGTCTTTGATGAAGCTTCCTACGGAGTCTGGTCTACCATTATGGATACCCCTGATAACCAAGTTCGAAATGGGACACAGCCGTTTGGAAATGGGAATGCGGAAGACGAGGACACGGAACCGGTCTATACGATTAACAAGCCAGACATGTCGGATGCCAGAAAAGAACGATTGGAAGAATTTGCTGAGGCCTTCTTGGAAGTATCTGTCTTTGACGTTGCAGAAGTTTGGATTCCTGTTGGTGGTGACTCTGATTACTTGGCACAAGTGACATCGGTCACCAGCACCGACTCGAATCCCATTTTGAATCAATTCGTGCAGCAAACGGAAAAAATCATGGTAAAATCATGGTCTGGAGCTGTTGGTAGAGCCTTTGCGACTGGAAATCCTGTTTGGAACGCCGATCAAGTAAGTGGGTTGGGTGTTGAATTGATTCAGACGAAATAGAGCGTATCCAAGACCATGTTCTGTTTTCTAACGCACCTTACTTTTTATCACTGCAGAACACATTTGCGGACGGAGGGAGGAAAAAATTCTTCAATCAAGTGATGCTAGAAACTGCTTTAGCGGTCCCTGTGTTTCAGGGAAAGTCACCAAAACCTTCTTTTGTATTCGCTTGCTACGCGTTTGTTCGATCGGAAACTGTTCCATTTGTATTGAAATTTGTCCAGCAAGCCTTGGGTTTGCTTTGGAAAGGTTTGGATAAAATTCAACCTCACGCGGCTATTGAGGATAGACTGTGGAAAGATGTGGAGCCCGCTGATCTTGGGGAAATGGCGGCGGATATTGAAATGCACCAGCATTTCTTGGAAAAGAAACGACCGCATGAGGAAATTAATCAAGTTGGTACCAATAACAATTCGAGAATGGGTTTTGCTTCTATGGGATCGGCATCAGGCTCTGCAGCAGCAGTGAATTCTATTTACACTGGTGATGCGACATCTCCAACATTGGAACCGCTTGATGACTCAACAATGGAACCAATTGAAGTCTCCTATCAACCTCGGGCTTCAGCAGCACCTCAACAAATGCAGTTCCAACCCTTCCAAGTGAACATGCCAAATTCGAACAATCATGTTGGGGGTGGGCAGTCAAGTCGCCAGCATAACTATCAAGATGTTTTCCCTCATGAACAACAACGTGCTGTCAAGCGTCCTCGACCAATGTCAAGCCAGGGAATTCAGATCCAGCCTTTGAATAGCTCACCGAGACTGGCGAATACGACTGCTTCACCACTCATGAGTCCGATGCCGCTTCCCTCTCAAGCTATTGTCTTTTTTTCTTCGAATCATAACTCACGGCCGATGCAACAACAACAACAACAACAACAGCAGCAGCAGCAACAGCAGCAACATCTCCACCATCACCAACAACAACACCAACAACAAAATTATCAAAATCAGTATTCCAATCAAGGGATGAGTTCAATACCACAACGGATGCAGCAACAACAGCCGCAACAATTCCAGTTCTCGAATCAAGGCCAAAGTACTGTTTCAATCACCCAGCTACCTGACCAAGCTTCAGACCTAGCCCAGAACTTTGCTGCTTCCTACCAACAACAAAACGATCAGATCGATCCAACACCGTTGCCAGCTCAGAACAACATGTCCAACATATCGGCTATCCCTACGAATCAAATTAGTGCTTCAGGCATTTCATTTGCGCTTCCGCCAAAGGCGGCATCCAACGGCATTTCATTTCAAAATTCAATTCCTGCTGGGTCCAACGTTGTTGGCATGCAATTCTGCATGCCTACCATGGGACAATCTATGGCTCCCGCTCCTGCACCATCTGGAAAGGTGAGCATTGAACCTAGTCTTGCTTTCGTTTTGTCTTATTATTTGCCCCTTTTGATGGACTAACATCTCGTCCACTTCATCTTTGTTACTAAAGCCCTGTCGAATCAAGGGATGCAGCGAACCTGCCGTTACTAGAAAACCATACTGTGCTCGTCACGTAGGCAACCGAATGTGTGAACACGCAGGTTGCAGCAAATGCGCCCAAGGTGCGACACGTTTTTGTATTGCCCACGGTGGAGGCCGTCGATGTAAATTCGAAGGTTGTGACAAGGGCGCCAGAGACAAGAACTTTTGTGCTGCCCATGGTGGAGGAAAGCGATGTAAATTTGATGGATGCAACAAATCCGCAGTGGGCGGTTCCAGCCTGTGTACTGCTCACGGAGGTGGTCGTCGATGTTCTATTGCTGGTTGTAACAAATCGGCTCAATCTTCCACCAAGTTTTGCGTCAAGCACGGCGGTGGAAAGAAATGTATCTTTGGCGGTTGCCAAAAGGTAGCTCGTGGGCGTACCGAATTTTGTGCCGCTCATGGTGGTGGTGTCCGGTGCAAGCTCGCAGGTTGTACTCGTGTCGCCATTGGAAAGTCGCAACTCTGCCGTGCTCATGGCGGTGGCAATCATTCTCGACAAAAGGGAGGCCGTGACGACGACTCAACATTGGGAGACGTTATGGATGTAGGAGGAATGGGGTTTTGAATGTGAATCATGAGCATGTATGATCATATGATCTTCCTTGAGAGAGAGAGAAAAATCGCGGGGCCAAAGGAAACCGTGACTTGGCGGAGCAATTCATCATATGTTCTATGCACAGTGTATCGAGTTTTAGCTCGTACAGCAATGCTAGACGACTACATTGATTCGTCCACCTCGACGCTCGAGGAATAATTGGATTGGAATTCCAAAAAGTCTGTTCCATGATGAACCACAACCTACACAACACGCCAAAGGAACCTACTACTGTATTCTGATTCATTGCTTGCTTGCTTTCATTATTTTTGTATGATAACATTGAATCACCTAATATAGGATTATGCACATAAAAACGCTACATCACTGTCATAAAATACTAGAAAGAGTAGATAGAGTGCATTTACAGTAGAGGCTTATAACATCATCTGTCGTTATTTTACAAAGCACATCGTACACACACACACACGCACACACACACACACACACACACACACGCACACAAGTCTAGAATACATCATTTTATTGTACTTTGGGCCAATTCTTGAATCGAATGCGGTGATTGCAATACCCAAACGGATGCTTGGCGAGGTACCGTTGGTGCTCGGAATGAGCCTTGACAAATTTGGTATATGGTACAATCATGGTAGTCACTTCCTTTTGAGAAAAGCACTTGATTTCCTTTTCTTGTATCAACGTTTGCAGTTCCTTTTTGACCCTTGTTGCAATTTCTACTTGATTCTCATCGGAACAGAAAATGACACTGGCGTATTGACTGCCCCAATCATTGCCCTGTCGATTCAGAGTGGTGGGATCGTGAAAGGTGAAAAAGAATCGAATCAATTCTTCCAATAACTGTGGCGTGACATTGCGAAGGGTGACCGTCAAGACTTCGACGTGTCCCGAATTTCCTGCACAGACTTGCTTGTAACTTGGTTTCTTTAGAGGATTGTTGGGATTGAGGCTCATGAATCCCACGTTGGCAAGTTGGATCGAATTGGGAAACTTTTTTTGAAAATTCTGGATGATGAATTTCTCGGTACCCCAATAACAACCAGCACCCAGCGCCACTGTAGGAGAAATACTGGTGGAGGTAGTAGCAGTATTGTTGTTGTTGGTGTTGTTGGTGTTGTTGTTATCAGTACTGTTCGCTTCGGTTTGGCTGTCCAGTTTGGTAGCTCGACTGGCAGTACAACCCATTGTGTTTGGTGTATGCTGCTGTTGATCCTATTGTATTTGTTGTGTATGATATTTCTGTATATGTCTTTGTCTATTCTAGTCCTTCCGGTACTGCACTGTTTCGTGAGAAGAGTATTGTTCTTATTGTTACAGTATTAATACTTGTATTATTGCCAACCGCAACCTATTCGTTGCTGGTCTCCAAACAAGATTGATTGGTGCAATCGTTTCGTGTATGAACGACGAAACGCGGAGTTGTTTTTGAAAACAGCGTGGAAATTTGCGTCCGAGAAATAATGGTGTGCATGACAGACCGCGCCAAAAAACAGCACTGCACACACAAATAAAATAAAAAGAAGGAACAAGCAGCAACACCAACAATAGCATTGAACAAAGACCCAGATACTATACCTTCAACCACATTCATATAAATCCACACCTCTCGAATGCATACACGCTAATTGACCAATGATCGATAATCTAAAATACAATCTAGAACAGGCTCAAAAGGCAAAGCAAGATAAAACGCATGGATTTGCGTATGCCATTCAATCCAATGGTACCTTGATGGGAGATGAGTCTCATGCCAAGCGAAAGCGACAGCGAGGTGCCTCTTCTTGCTTTGCATTCATGAGTCCCCAAGACATTGCGGCCCTCCCTCGTAGTAGTGGTAGCAATCGGAATTCAAATGCTCCCTTGCTGCATCTCCCTCCTCACAACTGTTTGGCCACCATTCAGCAATTGATGCAACAAGCCTCACTCGAGCATCAAAAACAGACCAGGCTACCAGCCATGCCCAAAACACCATTGATTAACACAGCTCCAAAGCAACAACAACAACAGCAACAACAACAGCAGCAACAGAGTAATCCGTTTCCAAACACGACGTCACAACCTCCACCGCAAATCCAATCCATGCAACCTCAACCACAGTCAAGCAATTCGGCTGTGAACAATCCCTACAACATTTCCTCCTCCAAGTTTGGTGACATTTCACAGCAGCCTCGAAAGGAAAATCAGCATCCCAATCAGACAACTAACAATCCATATTCCAATAGTAGTACGGTGGCAAGCGTCAACAATCGCAATGCAACTACTGACAACAGCCACAAAAATGCCGCCACCATTGTCATTGAAAATAATGATGAGGAGGATGAATTTATGGACGACTTTGATGACGTCCTGGCCAATTTAGATGTGGACGAGGTGGTGCGTGGACGCAGCAGCATGGAATCGTCGTCGATGCACAATGTTGTCGGCAGCAATATTGGTAGCTTTGATTACGGCGGCAATGACAATAGTAATAGTGGATGGATTGGTGGTGGTGGTGGTGGTGAAAGGACGAGTAGTAGCAGCAGCAACAACAACCATGCTGCTGTTGGATTCCAAAATAATAACAGCAAGAGCCGCCAACCAAGGAACTCGTTTGGCAACGACGGTCCTGTCCCATTGAACGCCAATCAGTATGACAACAACAACAACAACAACTTCATCAACTATGGAGATTCTAACTATGCAGGCAGCAATGACTATCACAATGACTATGCTGCTTCTACGAGCAATGATGCTGGTTTCCAAAACACCAACAACAATCATAGCAATCATGCCATGATGCAAGCACCCGACAGCAATGCCCCACTCTGTCCCGAACACAATTTGCCCTGCCGATTGCTCACGGCCAAATCAGCTTCCAACATGGGACGAGATTTTTACAAGTGCAGTCTAGCAGAACCAGAACAACAGTGCGACTTTTTTCAATGGGCCGATGGTATGGAAGGCAATTGGAATGAGGAAAGTCCGGTTGCTATTTCTGGAGCAGGAGGAGGAAATACCAAGGACATGTACCAAGAAAATCAACGCATCTTTGGTCATCGCTCCTTTCGGCCGGGACAAAAGGAGGTCATTGAAAAGGCAATTCAAGGACGAGATGCCTTTGTCCTCATGCCAACGGGTGGAGGCAAGTCACTCTGCTACCAGTTGCCAGCCTGGTGCTGTCCCGGTTTGGCCGTGGTGATTTCTCCCTTGTTGAGTCTCATTCAAGATCAAGTACAATCCATGATCAAGGTGGGAGTCCAATCCGTCTTTTTGAGTTCCAAACAAGACTTCCAGACGGAACAACGAGAAATTAATGCACGACTGGAAAACATGACGGCTCACGATGGCATCAAGATTTTGTATCTGACACCGGAAAAGCTGAGTCATTCCAATCATATGAGACGCATCCTCAAGGGAATCTACCAAAAAGGACTCCTCAGTCGATTTGTGGTCGACGAAGCCCATTGTCTCAGTGATTGGGGACATGACTTTCGACCCGATTACAACAACTTGGGTTCCTTGCGCCGAGATTTCCCCAACACGCCCCTCATGGCACTGACGGCGACGGCCAATGAAAAGGTCGTCAACGATGCCATTCGAGCCTTGGGAATGCGGAATCATCATTTGTATCGATCATCCTTCAATCGCAAGAATTTGCACTATCAGGTCCGCAAGAAGGATGGCAAGGTTGTGAGTAACATTGCCGACTACATTGCCAGTCGACCCAAGGACTCTGGGGTGGTCTATTGTTTGAGTCGCAAGAATTGCGAGGACGTCTCACAAAAGTTGCAAAAGATCTTGCGGGAAAAGGGACATCGGAACATCCAAGTATCCTTTTATCATGCCGAAGTGGACCAGGCAGAACGTGATCGGCGTCATCATGCTTGGAGTATTGGTCAGATTAGTGTGCTATGTGCTACAATTGCATTTGGAATGGGAATTGATAAACCAGGTGAGAACGTCAGCCATCAATGGTTGATTGATTGGAAGGATTGCAAGCTTCTGGGGATTGTGTCATCTGTGGGAAATTTCTGGCTAACCAAAATGATTGCACTCGTTCTCTTTCAACAGATGTGCGATACGTCATTCACTATTCCATGCCAAAGTCCATTACACACTAGTAAGTTTGCCAAAGGTTGGGTGGCGGTTCCCTTCCATCACATGTACTCATGAAAATCCTTTGACCCTTCCTACCATTTGCAGCTACCAAGAGAGTGGACGAGCTGGCCGTGATGGTGACCGAGCAGATTGCATCTTATTCTACCACTACAAGGACAAGAAGACATTGGAGAGTATGATTCGAAAGTCGTCAAACAATCCAAACAGCGTGAGTACTCGTCGGAAAATTGATCAACTGTATACCTGTGTCCGCTATTGCGAGGATGAGTTTCGTTGCCGCCGAACCATGCAATTGGAGTTTTTCGGGGAAAACTTTGATCGTCGCAAATGCAATGGAACTTGTGACAATTGCGAAAATGGCAAAGTGGCGGACAAACGGGATATGACCAAGGTTGCCCAAGATTTGATTCAAGTTCTGACGCAAGCGCAGAGCAATCGAAAATTTGGAGGGAGTAATGTCACCATGAATCAAGTTGTGGATCTCTATCGGGGTGCGAAGAGCAAAACCGTAATGGAAGGGTTTGTGACCAGAAACATCCAAGGCTACGGATCTGGTTCGAGCATGAAGAAACACGAACTTGATAGAATCACGCACGCAATGATATTCGAACGCCTTTTCGTTGAGGAATCAAGTGAAACGAACGTTGGATTCCTTGCTGACTACCTTCAACTGGGCGAGAATGCTCAAGTCGTTCTACAAGGAGGCAGAAAGTTCTTTGTGGAGTTTCCAAGTGCCACAAAGGCAAGGAAGAAAGCTGCTCCCAAACCTCCTGCCGCCAAGAAGCAGCCAAAGAAAAATAAAGCGGCTGCAACGACCTCCAAAGGCAAGCGGAAAAGTTCCATCTCAAGTGGATCTCCAAGTGCCACAACTTCTGACGGTCTGAAGTTTGTCGAAGTTGCCGATTCCGATGACGAAGAAATACTTGCGACATCCCCACCATTTTCTACATTCCGTGCCGAGTCTCAACAAGACGTTCTCACCACCGACCAAACAACGGAGCTCAATGGATTCATCAAGAAAATCATCAATCTTTGGGCGCAAGAGGAACAAGCAATGGGGAACAATATCCACTGTACGTCGGTTCTGCTGTCCCTTCTCTCCACGAGTACTCCTCGAGTTTCGTATCTCACCCATTGCTTTCCCTTCTCTAGATTGGAATATTCTTTCAAATGATGTTGTAAAGAGTGTTGCGTCGTACTGTCCTACGTCCGAGGAGGAGCTGATAACTCTCGGAGTTCTTGGAGAAGCCAAGCGCAAGGAATATGGTGAGAGATTGATTCAAGCCATTCAGAGATTCCTCACAATGAAAGAAATCTCAGTGGAGCACATCAGAAGCCAACGGCCAGTGAAGCGAGCTAAATTGGGAACAAAAGAGAGTAACAAGCCTTCAGCACCAAAGAATCAAAGCAATGAAGTCATCATGATTGACGACCAAGACGACGAATTTGATGAATTTGATACTGGGATTGACTTCACTGCCATTGATATTCCAGATGCTGCCACTGCCTCGTCGATTCCTGACAAGAAGTCCCCTTTTTTTTGAAAATCAGGTTATGTCATAAAACTTTGGTTATGTAGCATCAGTGTAGCTTACCAATATGCGGTACCGGTACTGTAGTAGCAGCTCTCCTCGGTTGGGTACCAGTACTCTTCAAGCCATTAAAAATCAATTAGGTCGCGAATATTATGTAGTTAGTATAGTTAGCAAGGATAGAGTTAGTAGCAATCACACTTTCGATAGACTTCGACGACTCAACCTCGTTGTTGAAGTTTATGCAGTAGACTTGCGTAGACTTCGTACCAGACAACTCCAGGTGGAACTGTTTCCCAAAATGGATCCTTTTGTTCTGTGACAACATTTCACATCAAAAAGTGCGTCTCGTCGTCGGCACAACAAGACTATGGTGAAAATCAATGTATATGCCGTAGCGGTGTTCCTAGCAACATGCGCTGCGAGTGGATCAGCTTTCGTCCCACAAGCCACTCAATCAGTGAATAAGGATTCAGCTTTGAATGCGCTTCCACCCATGATTATCGGTCCCATGATTAAGCGAATGAAACAACAGCAAGCTGAAAAGAAACAGCCAATGATTGATGCTGAAGACGCAATAGGTCAGGCCCCCGGAATTCGAGTCGGAGGTTCAGCATGGAAGTGGCCACCAATCTGGCCCTATGGCGATGATTTCTTCACTCCCACCGAAGATCTGCCAGAAGCTGCCAGTCCGCAACAATCACTTCAGAACATGGCAGGAATGATGAACGGTGCACCTCAATTACCCAAGCCTGAAGATGTCGAAGTTGATGAACTTGAAAAGTTAGACGTTGCGAAATACTGGAGCGAAGAAAAGGGAGACGTTCGAACAGAACTCGATGAAGAGGCTGCCGACAAATTGACACAGTAAGATTGAATTTTTGCAATTGATAGATTCGTGCTTGTGAAAAGGAGCTAACTCTTCTGCTTCAGACATTTTAAGTTCTATTTGAAGCCTGGAATGTCAATTCTAGAATTCGGTGCGGCAGAGAATTCTTACTTTCCAAAAGAGTTGGAACTTGGCAGACATGTTGGTGTCAGTTTGAACGAAAAGTTAATGAATGAAAACCCGTCGTTGACAGAAAAACTGGTGGTCGATCTCAACAACGTTGTTCCAGAACGTGATGTAGACTCTGATGATCTACGAAAGCTTAAATCAGAACCTTTTGATGCTGTCGTAATGACAAACACTGTTGATTTCCTCACCAGCCCGAGAGAAGTATTCCGTACCGCATGGTATCTTCTCAAACCAGGAGGCATCATGCTTGTTCCATTCACCACTAAAAACTCCAAAGAATACGTTGGAAAGTTCGAACGGGCCCAAGTGAAGGCATGGCGCGAATTCAATGACGATCAACATATGTGGATCGCTGGTTCATTCTTCCAATTCAGTGCAGGCGAAGGTTGGGAACAGTTGCTTGGATTCGACATCTCACCCGAGAGTGCAAAAGACAATCTCGAAAACCCAGGTCCTCTCTCAATGTTACAGGCTGGAAAAGACAACAACATGTATGTAGTTCAAGCCGTAAAAGCAGCAGCCGCGGATGATATTGATGAGAAAAACCCAGAAAAGTCAATCAGTTCCAAAATGTGGATGCTACCAACGATGGAAGATCGTGACAAAAAGCTTACGGCACCTCGCCTTGCGAGAGGGTTTCAAAAAGCGACTTCCGAAGAAAAAAAGAGTTCAATTGCTGCCAATTTGGCTCTACTACCAAAAGTGTACGAAGCCCTTATCAAGATGGACCAATTTTCTTTCACCTTCCAAGCGCAATCACAACTGGCTGCTGATCTGATCTTGGATCCCGATTTCACTGCAAACGAGGAGCAAATGAAGGCGTTAAAGCAAGGTACGCCCATGAAGTTACTTTTTGATTCGCTTTCTTTTGCTACAAATTCAGGGTACTCAATCACATTGTTTTCTTGTAGGTCTTGGATTGCTTACGCCATCAAAGGAATTTTGGGAACCAATTGGCATGAACACAGCAAATATTGCATTGAGCGAAAAGGTCAATCTACTTGCATACCTTGTTCCTCGATTCGGTAGTGGCGACGAGAAACAAGATGAAGCACTGCTTGCATATGCTAGTGGTCTACCGCCAACCATCGCCGTAGTTCGCAGCAAATGCCCAGATATGCCTGATTCTGATGTCGAATTGCTTGCAGCTGAGGTCCTGGCTGCTGAAATCCTCATTCCTGGCAGATCAACAAGGGAGGAGTTTGCGGCGTGGTTGGGATCCATGAGCAAATCTGACTTCGAAGGAATTCTCAAGACTAGGAGATCGTACAGCGAAGAGGCATCGAGTGAACTCGCCGCATTCCGGGCAGCGAGAGAAGCAGAAGAGCAAAGAATCGAGGAGCTCCGAAAGAGATACGCGGAGCAAGTAGAAAAGGCCAGGGAAGAACGAACTATGGCGTTCAATCCTAGAACAAAAAAGTTTCAGGTATTGAACAAGGATGATGAGTAATTATTGAATGAGATGTAGATTTTTCCCAATCTAAGGCTTTTTGAATATATACTTTCGTAGCAATGGGCTCACGCATCGGGAGTATTAATCGGCCTAGCGCTTGGCTTTTGGCTAGCGCTAGACTTATTCGGTCGTTTCAGGAAACCAGAAGGCGACTTGAGGTTTGCCCGCACCTCTACCCAACAATCAGCCACTCCAATCTTGTCGTCGTCTTTCGAAGTTTCACCACCAGCAAGTAGAGTGTTTGCCGACTGTAGCTCATCCAGCGAACCGGCCAACAGAGATTCTTGTGCTTCGTCGAAAGCACTTTTCACTTTCTCACTTGAGCAAAAACGAATGTCAAGTCCCAGCAGATCTTCATGCTGAACCATCAACTGTCCAATGCGACTGCTGCCACTAAACCCAATCTTTCCTGTTCTTGTTCCTTCTTTTGTCGTATCAACTGCTTCAAGGTCATCGCAGTGGAAAATCAAAGTCGGCGGGGGAAGAGACCTGTCTTCCGAGGCTGTAGGTAATGGTCTGACTCGAATTGATCGTTGCCCTAGTTGATAGACGCCGACTGCTGGTCGCTGAGCTCCACTTAATCGGGAGAGAATGGTGGAACCATCTGCATATTCGGCATAATCAAAGAATGGAACGACGACTTCCTTCAAACCAGAAGGGGGCGAGTCCTTCGTTGCATTACGTCCTGCTGTCGCTTTCTGATCGCCAACAGACAAAAGTGGAAGGGACCCACTAGAGATGTCACGAAGCATTTCATGTGCTTGCAAGGATCCTAGAAAATTTTTCAGTTTGATCGACGATGATCGATTCTCGATATTGGACGCTAAAAGATCTCGAAAGGATTGAACGGCAGCTTGATTTGACTCGTCCGTAGTTGAATTTGTGATTCCCAACAGCGAAAATGCGCTCCCCCTAGCTGCATTGTCCTTGGTGTCCGAGCTCGACAGAAAGTGAACCATGGTCCCGCTTGATTGACATTTCAGAGCAACAGAGTCCCATGAATTGGAGAATATGGGTAGAACAGATTGAAATGTAGTGTTAAGCTTGTCCTTATCGTGCTCGAAGGACTTCAGATTGACTTTTTCAAGTTTGCATAGTTTTGAGAGAAGATCTTGGGCCCTGCGAGAGGCAGATGGTGATGGGGAGAAGAAAGAAACAACCGTTGATGTCATGGTCCAACTGAGCTAGAAACTTCTATACAAGGAAGTAGGAAGTTGTTACCAGCAAGTCTTCTTTCTGTGAGTCAGTCAGCCAGATGGTTTTTGTCATTCTCCGTTGTCTCAATCTCCAAATTCTAATACCGTTTGATTAGATCGACCAAGCAATTTTCGCAACGTTATTATTTTCTTCGTTTCGAGCAAGCCAACATGAAGTCGTTGTAAAAATTATTCGTTTCTGTAGACGATAACGCGCGAGGTGAACTCTACCGTTGCCTGCGCGTGTCGCACCACTAGACAATCGCAACAAATTTCTCCATACAAAGCAAACTTCCTCTACAGGATAACCACATTCCAGTTCAGTCTGCTCATACCATTGTCATCAACAGTCACCAAGCGCTTTTTTCACTCATTCGTTGTAGACTAGTACGGCGTTGAGATAAATCCGGTCTGAAAAGTTAGGAAAAAGCACACAACAGAGAAAACCTTTTTGCGTTTTCTTTCTCGGTGAATAGTACACAATGATTTCAGGATCTTCTGAATCAAAAGAGCAAACCTTCTCCAATCGAGTCTTGAAGTGGACTAAGAAAATGTCAAGCATGGCAACTGTCTGTGGATCAACTGATCAGCTCAACAATATCGCACCCTCTGACTCTTTCGAAGGTATGGTGGAAGATAAACCAGAGGGAAAGAGAGTTCCATCTCGTGGCTACCACAACACGTCGAAAGGCATGAAAGTGACCAAGGCATCAAGTAATGATTCATATGACCATGATCACCATACTCTTGCAACTGCAACCACTGCAACTGCATCTTTCTCCGAAAACGAACACGACGATGGGTCTTACATGGATTTGTCGAAGCGCAGTGAGAGGAGAGCTGCCAAGCCATACTCGACTCATTCCTTCCCCGCCGGAAAACACACTTTCACAGTTGATACACGCTATTCTATGAATCGTGTTGTGGGTTCGGGGGCATATGGCGTTGTGGTCTCATCGCATGACTCTAGGGCGGCAGAGGATGTTGCAATCAAGATGGTGCCAAAGGCATTCAACGATGAAGTCGACGCGAAGCGCATCTTGCGGGAAATCAAGCTACTCAAGCACTTCAAACACGACAATATCATTCAAATTGTTGACATGATGCCACCTAATGCCAGATATCTTGAAGACTATCATGACATTTACATGGTGACTGATCTTATGGAAACAGATCTTCACAGAATCATCTATTCCAAGCAAAAGCTCTCAATCGAACACGTCCAATATTTTGCTTATCAGCTAGTGAGAGGTTTGAAGTACATTCACTCCGCGGATGTCATCCATCGCGATCTTAAGCCATCCAATTTGTTGGTTAATTCAAATTGTGATCTCAAGATCTGCGATTTCGGGCTTGCCCGAGGTATCCATCCAGCTCACGGAGAGGACGCTTCAGGAACAATGCTTCTCACCGAATATGTTGTGACTCGATGGTACAGAGCCCCCGAGATTATGTTGGCTTGTCATGAATACTCCAAGCCAGTGGATGTTTGGAGTGTAGGCTGCATTTTTGCGGAGCTCATCCAACGAAAGCCATACTTCCCAGGAGATGACTACATTGATCAGGTAAGTTTGATGTCGGTTGGAGAGAGAGTTTACATCTTGAAAGCTACTGGTAGCAGTCTAATCTGTCTTCTTTATCTTTCATCGTCCAGTTGACCATCATTTCGAAAAAGCTTGGAAAGCCATCAGACAGTGATCTTGATTTTGTTACTTCCGAGAAAGCAAAAAGGTTTATGCGAAAGCTTCCAAGTGATCCAGCGCCTCCTCTGAGTTCCCAATTCCCAGGCACTCCATCGAATGCCCTAGACTTGATGAGAAAAATGCTGTCGATCCATCCTCGCAAGCGTATACCAGTTGAAGATGCTCTTGCTCACCCATTCTTTGCTCAACTGCATAGTGCAGATGACGAACCAGTTGCTGAAGCGCCTTTTGATTTTTCCTTCGAAAAGGAGAAGCTTCACAGAATTCGGTTGCAGGAGCTGATCTGGCAAGAAGCTGGTCATTTCCGCCCATCATGCCTCCCAGTTGCACCCAGACGAGATGGTTTACGAGAAGTATAGGCCGCAACCATTCAACGAGAGGCTAGCCGTGAAGCTTTGTTCGCAGGCGCCAGTGCATTTACATATCAAAATAAGAAACGTGTCATTCGTAATCGTTTTCACTTGAATTCCAGTTGCTTTCTTCAGTGAGCTGTACTAGCTGAAGAAGGACTGCAAACTCTTGGAAACTGAAAAATCTTTTTATAAGTTATATTAATAGGTCGAACACATATTTATACTACAAACACTTTATCAGGCAATGGAGATGGAAAAACGTCTTACTCTGAAGCAATCATGTCTTTACTCCACCTCGGTTGTGGGAATTCAACAAACTCTGTTGCGATTTCTCGGCCCAAAATTTCTTCCTTTGCTTCTTCTAGCGTTTCCCCCTCCTTTTCTTCGCCTTCATCGTATTCATCAAATGATGGGGTCTTTTCAATAATTTTTGGTAAATGTTGAGTTATGATGCCACAATGCACGTGTACTTCAAGATCATTAAATGATGCAACTTACCAAGTTGTAACACTTGTTTCTACCGACAAAGTCGAAAGCACTTAACAACATTGAAATGTCAAACTTCCTGATGTCAAACTTCTTGATGTCAAACTTGCTAAAGTCAACGTCATCGAAGTCAAAATCAAAATTGAATTCCAAGGGACATCCAAAGATGTTGCTTCCACTATTGTCTCCCTGACGATTCCGCTTGGAGTCGTTGAGGCGATTCAGCTTTTTTTCCTCTTTCGAAACGCGAGACTTCTTGTATTTTAGGCTGAGGCTCTTTTTGCATTCACTTGCACTCAAATTTGAATCCGAGGGCGGGATATCGTAGACAGGAGGATCGTTTCTGTGGGATCCTCCTAACTCCGTATCTTCGTCCATAAAGGTCACGCTTCTGGTACTCTTCTCGCTCTTGTCAGAGGTTCCATTCTTCAGACATGATGAAATGCTTCTTGCACTTCTCTCAGAGGTTCCATTTTTCAAACATGTCCGTAGCGAGGGACGTTTAGATACCACCGCGGTATTTTCGGGCACTCTTGCACCCATCGAAGGCTTTGTTGGTGCAGGTGTCGTTTGATCACTCTTTACGTTGGTTTTAGGAGTTGTCTGGAGAGCTTTCTTCTTGGCCTGAATTGGCTTAGTATTTGCTACAGGAGTTGATTTCTGGTTGTTTGGCTTCTCAAACATTGCAACCCTTTGCGCGATAGACTCACTCTTAGCGCTCCGAAAACTCGTAGACGCAGAAGAGTCAACGCTCAACAAGCTTGGCATCTCCTTTACCTTGCCATGAAAACGATGCTTTGCTCGATTAAGCTTCTGCTGTCTACTCAAAGATTGGTTCGATGCTTTTGCTTCGTCAGTGTCTTGCTCGATTGGGTCTGTTTCTGAGGGGGAATTGTAGACTAGAGCCTCACCCTCCTGAATCCGGTTGGCTTCAGCTTCAGCAGCGATAATTCGACTGGTAGATCCAAACGGCCCAAGCATGTCGCTCAAATCACCGCTCTCTTTTCTGGATGATCTGCGATCGTAATGAGTAAGAGTCGAAACAGAATCATCGTCGAATATAATTGGGTCGTTGTTCTTGATTTGGATTGCAAATCCTCGCCTCTTCGGCTCTTGTTTAAACTGCTCTTCGTTTGGATGGTTCGTCGACCGTTGCGCCCCTACTTCTTCTTCGCTTCGACTTTCAGACTTGCTGTTGTCTTGATCTCCCTCGACTATGCGCTTATCCCTAACTATATTTTGTGACTGCTTCCGATGCATGGAAGCATAGTCCTTGTTTTCCTGAAAGCACCACTCCATGTTCGAAAATGAAGTCGGTACGTTATCGGATAGTAAGCCTGCAGCAAGCTTTACGTTGGAAGAGTTTCCCTGAGTCGTGATATCTCGAGTATGCTGACCTCTCGCCATGGTTCGACAGGTCTTCTTGACATGAAAGAGAATTAAAAAATGAAGAGCTGCACCAACACCTCAACGCTTTTTCAATTTTTAAAAGTTCAATCCGACATCATGCGTTGGAGAACAAAGAGAACACTTTCAACGTGTACTCGACCCCTTCGATTAAAAAACGCAGTTCACGGAATTAACTGCTATAGTCGTCTGTACCTACTAGTTTATGCATCATGTACTTGTATCTACCGGTACTGAGACAGCACCTCATGACTGCCCCGACTTAGAAGTATCCTTTGGCGCCGTAGGAATAGCAACAACAGTTGCTTGCACTGGTTTCTTTGGCTTTTCCTGCTTGCCCTCGTTCAAAACTTCTTCTTTCATTTTCTCCATTTTGTTTTTGAAGCCTGCAAAATGGCCAGCCATCCCACCTTTCTCTGCTTGCTTTTTCTTGTCGTTGCTATTTCCAAACATGGAGAATGGGTTCCTTGATAGAAGGGACTCCTCGTCTTTCTTCCCTTTGAGCTCGTTGAAGTTAACACTGAATCCACCGAATAGAGGTTTGGAAGAATCAGCTGCCTCGTTGCTTTTCTCTGCCTCAGGTTTTGGGCCGCTCCCTCCTTTTTCAACAGTACTTGGTTGTTCACCACGACCGAAGAAGCGCGACACGAGATTCTGCTCGCTGTTGGGTGTTTGGGAGTCGTTGGCAGCCTCCGGTGACACAGCCTTTTCAAGCCGCATTGTGTTTAACGTCATGGCCGCCATGCTAGTATCAAATAGATTTTGAAGCTTCCGTTGCGCCTTTTGACGCCCGGAACTACTGTAGACTGTTTCGAACTGTCCGAACACTGAAAGTTCAGGATTGTAATCTGCCAGAACAAGCTGAGGCTCCAGATTGATGCCTGGCCCCTCTCGAGAGAGGAACGCGTGCATGGTTGCGAAACCGCCGTTGACAATGCTGACAAACGGCAACCCTCTTTTCAAAAGGAACAATGCACAGTTCCTGTTCCGCGCATTATCTTCACCTATACAAGCTGAGAGCCGCTTTGTCATCCTATGACCGTAAAGTTCAGGTAGAGCAGAGTATCCTTCCCCCATGATACAGAGGTGAGCCATTCCTCTCAGCGACTCGAGCATTTCGATTTGTTTTGCCAGGCTGTCAGGATCCAAAAATGTTTCGGGACCCAAATTGATAGATGTTGGAAACCGACCCTGGGATTCCGCTACTTCTTTCGGTCGGCTATCGACAACACAGAATTTCAGCGGTAGCAAGCCATCTCGATCATGTTCCAGCTTTGAAGCCTCTTTGATGTTCAAAACCTTCGAACGATGAGCACTCTTACTCCAACAAACTCCCGAAACAGCTTCATTTACTTGGACCTCCATTACCAGATTACGTAGTTGTAAACTATCGTCTCCATCATTGTCTTTATCTTGTTTCTTTCCAAAGAGATCCCCAAAACCTCCACCGCCGCCTCCACCAGCATTATCACTTCTCTTGGTCGGAGATGTGGGTTTCATAGGAGGATTGAAACCAACTCCATATTTTGTCTTGAGCTTTTTATCTAGGACTTCGTAGCGCCCTGTATAAAGCTCCATGAGTTTGTCAATGTTTCCTTCCTTTTCAGGATTGTACTGGCGATAGTAAGCAACAAGCCTTGCCCTCGTCAAACGAAGACGTGCTTCGTCGGCTTTTTTCTCGCGCTCAGCCTCTACAATTTCCTGTTGCGCCCTTGCCTCTGCGTCAAGTCTAGCCTGCAATCGTTTTTCAATATCATGTTGCCGTTGGAGCAGAGCATTATTGACGGCATCATCCTCAAGCCGCTTCAACTGTCGTACTATACATAGTGGTGTTGCTTCCCAAAGCGCTTGTGCCTTGTCAGACCAATCATGTACCCATTGAACTGCTTGTTGATTCAATATTTCTTCTGATTGAGCATCACTTGTCGTATTGTCGTCAAGGGACAAAACCTTTTTCGTTTCCACTTGTAGTTCATCCCCAGTCAGTAGTACCAGCCGCTCCGCATGCGATTGCAACAGTGCCATGGACAAGAAGAATCGTAGAGAGTTGTTGCTGCTCGTCAAGACCAAGTCCCAGAGGCAATGCAGTCGTCTTGGGCTCATAAATGTCCCCCCACATTCTCCCGCCAAATGTGACACTAGCCAAGATTGCGGTACGAGCCCGACGGGAGCCCCCTTGTACCAGTCCGGAATGTATCGATCCAAGTGGATCGCAAGACAAGGAAAATGGTAACAGACCAGCAGATGAAACTGAGAGTGAAGCCCGTTCGCTGCTTTCATTCTTTCCTTGTGGGTCAATCCCAATATTGGCATAAAGTTTGGGACAATTTTGCTCAGCATTACAGAAGCAGCAACCTTTGGGATCCCAGCTGAGAGGATGGCACATGCAACAGGTGGTAGGAGAGGATCATGGATTTCCACTTTGTTTTTCCCCTTTTTGCCATTGTTGTCGTCCATCTTCTCGTCGGAATCATTCGGATTTTCAGTGCTGTTGCCATTGGCATTTTTCGTTTCATCATTTTGGTCATCCTTAGCTTTTTGTTCACTTTTGTTTTGTTCAGTCGTTTGATTTTTGTTTGTTGGGGCTCCGTCATCATAATGGTTGTGCAGGATTGAGATGAGAGCTTCTCTTGACGATTTCTTGTCGACATGCAATGCCGATACGATACGATCGGCCAAGGCGTCGGAGACTTCTTCTATCCAATCTTGTTCTGGTTCTTCTTGCGGTTGCTGAGCTGGCTCCTGTTGCTGAGATTGGACATCTTCTTCTTCCCCATCTAGCTCCTTTTCTTCTGCAGACGGCTTGCTATCGTCTTGCTCCTTTGCCTTTTTTCCCTCTCGTACATTCTCTTCAACATGATTAATTTTCTGTTCCTCTTGTGCCACCTTCTCTTCAACTTGTCTCGTTTCCTTTTCCTCTTGCTCCTTCTTGATTTCTTCTTTTCTTTTCAGCCATTGTTTCTCCCATTGTTGAAATGAGTCTGCAACACTTGACTTGATTGTTTCATCCAAAGTCTTGCCGCAAATTACCTTGCACCACAAGTGTGGTCGTATGGATCGGTCGACGACAAAGCCTTGCTTGACTACGAGATCTCGAATCTGAGCAATGGTAGATTTTGGAGACTTGACTGCCTGTTCCAGCGTTTCAAAAGTCGGTGTTGCAGGGACATTTGCTACCTTGGGCAGCATTTGTTCCAGAGGTTCTTCTTCGGGTGGTTCTACGAGTACAATATCCTCGTGCTGTGCTTGTAGCAGTTCTTCGTCATTGTCCAACCAATCCAATATTTCTTGCATGTCCACAATCTCCAAATCGTCCTCCTCCGTTAAGGCATTCTCATCCTTGTTTGCCTCGGCGGACTGTTCCGTGACAGCCAGTGGATCAAACGCAGAAGCATCTTTATTCTGTTCCATCAGTTGAATCAGCGAATCATCCGAGTAATTACTATCGTCATCGTCCGTCACGGACGCAGGCAATACGCGCTGCATCAGTTTCTTGTACTCTTCATTTTCTTTTTCCGTCGAGGCCATGGATTCACTGGCTTCGATGCCAAACGAGAACAGATTGGCCAGCTCATCGTCGTCCTCATCGTCAAAGGTCATGACGCCCTCATCATCCGTATCTCCATCGGCCGTCATCATGTTTGGATATAATTTTATCCGATTCTAGTTTGGTGTCAATGCTAGGATGGAATATATGAGACTTTAACAGACTGATGGATTCGTGTTGCTGGAACGAAGGGTTCCGATTTGGGTTTGATGATTTCCAAAATGCAATAGAAAAGCAAAAAAATCAAAACTTCACAGCCTATAAACAATCGTTGTTTATGTGTGATGCAAGAAATGCTCTCTTCAAGTAAGCTGCTTGGCAATACAACTATTTGAAACTGCTACAACGGCAGCAATGCTTCACTGGGTCAGAGGCATTGAAGTGGGAAAAGTGTTTCTGTGTGTGATGGGATTGTTTTAATCGGACGGGTCGAAAGGTGTTAAATTTACAACAAAACAACTTTTCCAAACCAAAAAGGCAAAGCATTTTTAGTGTTGTTTTAGGGTCATCCAACAATAACAACAACTACAACAACTACAACAACGCAATCTCATTGAATCGAATTATTTATTGAGTCATAACTTCAAACAGCAAACAATCATGCCTCCACGAAATCGTAGACAGGCGTTTCACCTGCCCCTGACGCTGTTGATTTTCTTTATTCTCTTTTTGCTGGTGTTGTATTTTGCCGTGGCACCCGATCCCAACGAAAATCCATTGCTGCCTGGTGCTGGCACAAGCTCTCAAAGCCAGAGATATCACAAGGTGGCTCAACAAGCCGAACAAAAACTTCGAGCCAGTGTCAGAAAGAAGAAAGAACTCTTGGGCATTGCACTCGATTCTTTATCGACGACACATTTGCCACCCAGACTCAAGGAGCTCCGACAGAAACACGAGATTGTGGGGGAACGATTGGGCGAAATCAAGGCCGGAAAGGAGACTGTCCAAGAGATTCTACATGCTGTGCACAATAAGCACATGACCAGCGACAAACCGCCTATGGAATTGGAGGAAATCATTGACTACCTTACAAATTGGATTCATACATTGCACGATACCCTGAGTGAGCATAAAATGGCCACCTTTGAGGGAATTTGGCAGGCGTAAGTAGGATTGTACACATCCTTTCTTTGTCGATTCATTCTTCAAAATGACATACATGTGCATTGTTCCTCACCAAATATGCTACTGTAACCATTGATCTTTTCATTTTAGATACCATGACTTGACAGTCAAGACACTATATGTTTGGGATCAAGACTACTTGTCTCGAATGCCACCACGACGAGAAGATGGAAGCATTTTCTTGTCGGTTGCCACGTATCGGGATGAAAATTGCATCAAAACTTTGACCAAGGCATATGAAAAGGCCAAGAACCCAGAAAATCTGTTCATTGGTTTAGTCCAACAAAATTGCCACAGCAACTGTCGAAGCGGAGTCCTCGAGGGCGGAACCATGGAAGAGGTAGAGCCAGATGAGGACTGTCGCAAATTGTTCTGTGACAGTGACCAAGGGAAATATTGCGATAATGTCAGACTCTTGGATATTGATGAACCTGAATCCTTGGGTCCCTATGCCGCCCGATACTTTGCTTCCAAACTATGGTACGGAGAGGAATGGTTCATGCAAACGGATGCTCACATGACATGGAAGCAGGATTGGGACGAGATTAGCGTATCCATGCTCAAAAGCGCCCCTTCCAAGAAACCAGTCATTTCGCACTATCCTCCTTCGCACATGGCAGATTTGGAGGCCATGGCGGACAGTAAGTCTCATTGTGTTGATGAAAATGAATTTTATTGAACGGGTCTTACATTCATTCTTTCTCATTCGTCACAGGACCTGCTAGCAGACTATGTGGACCCATCTTTGCTACAAGTGATCTAGAATCACAAATCATCCGCTTAGAGGGAGCTAGTGTAAGTATCATCAAAACTGCTTGGAGCATGCAATCATCATTACAGTGATCCTTGGTCCTCACACTTTATTACCTTCTTAATTCTCCTTTCATAGAACTACGACAAGAAAAAGCTCGATATTCCTCGATTTGCCCCCTTTACCGCTGCAGGTTACTTTGTTGCGCATTCCGAATTCCTGCGTGATATTCCATTTGATCCATTCCTTCCTTGGATCTTTATGGGAGAAGAGATCATCATGTCCACACGTCTATGGACTGCTGGATACGATATCTTTAGTCCCTCTCAAGCAGTGGTTGGCCATGTCTATGTGAGAAGGCACAAACCCAAGTTCTGGGAGTCCGTTCACCGGGCATTCCGACCCGGAGTGCACAATCCATTGCAAGCCATGGTTCTGAAACGAATCAAGCACCAACTTGGATACCCCGAGTGTGCTACTGATATGCTAGAAACAAAGAGCCTGTTGACGGCTGTCGAGCACTACTCCATGGGGACAGAGAGGCCGCTATCAGCATATCTTGAAATGGTTGGTCTCAACATGACAACCAAAGAAGTCACCATTACCAACTGGTGTGAGACTGGTTCTCCTCCACCAGGCTTTGAAGATCTTGCTCATCTTTATCAATAGAGCGCAGTGTACTAAAATAGTGTAGGTAGTGCTATTAATAATAATTCTTTCGTTAGTCTGATTTTAATCTCACACTGGCTGGACTACTATGATCAAACCAGAGAATGTTCCACAGCGCTTTGGAAGATTTTTCGCAAGATCACCGAGTCAGTTTCAAGTTGTGGTGTACCACATGGGGTAATGGCAATTTCGCTTCTTCAATTTTTGATGGTGCAGCTCAGCACCAGCCAGCACAGATGTTCACCTGTTGCCATGGAATTGACATTTCGAGCAAGAGTACACTTCTTCGAGCACCTCGAGAAACATTCAGCCACAGTCACGGTTGTCTCGGCGCGGAAACTCCATTCTCTCGGTATTTTTTGAGCTCGTTGAATTCTACGTGGTGTTCGGAGTTTTTCGTGCGCGTTATTTGATCAACGTGCACGCAAGCCGCTGCACCAAGACGTTGAAATTCGGCATATCACCCACATTTTCAATCTCTTCTCATTTTTGCAATCTTTCTATCACCATGCCAACCATGCCGCTGAAGTCGTTGTTCAAGAGAAAGCGTCGTAACAAGATCTCCTCCAGAGGGAATGAACTAAATGAAGAGTACGACCCAGTGATGGTAGAACCTGAGCACGCTGCTCAGTCTACAAGCGAACAAAAGCCATTGCTCGACGCAAAGAAAGCACAAAGTCGCAAAAGGTTCGAGGCTGCAAAGCGAATGTTTGGTTCTCAGTCTACTCCAAGTGAACAGGAGGCAAGAGAAACATCAGTGACTCCTGAAAAGATTTCGCGCTTTCAGCCCAACGTGTCCCGAGGAGTCGAGAGTAGAAGGGATACCAGTATGCACCAGGTGTTCCCCCCATTGCAGCCAAAAGACTCGGACGAGGTTGATCTCGATGACGTCGAGGAGAAGGCTCCTGAAAAGAGCCCAAGGACACCACAGAGGCACCACCAAATACCCCAAGCTCGAAAAGACGTTCATAGACTCGGGAAAGAGCATACTTTACCTAGTCAGCGTGTGGCTTGGACAGGATCTGTCGTTGGATTCACGCAGAGCAGTGCTTCGTTTGGACAGAAACAATCTCATGATAAATATTCAGCACAATCGAAGTTTTCTTCTTTTGCGCAGGGTGATGATGACACCGCACAATACGAGGAGATTGACAACAAGGACTACCTCATAGAGAGCGACGATGAGTCGAACGAGGCCGATGAATCTCCTACAGGTATCAAGCAAGATCAGTATGCGAGTAACGACTTTACGAGCTTTGGAGAAAGCTATTTCGCTAGCGAGAGCGCAAAGCAACACAATATTGGTGTTTTTCAGAATCCTGAACAACATGCCAAATCTCATCGAATGGCGACATCCCCGAGACAAGCAGCACGACAACGAAGCATTGACAAGCAGCATAGAAATGACAATTCATCGCCTTTGAATTCTGCTCCATCCATGGATAGCTACTTGTTGCGAGGCACCGAGTCTGACAGTGTCCTATTCGGCGAGGGCCTGGCACCATCTGCCTCTGAAGATTTCTTTGCTGGACTTGATGCTGAAGAAGAGACGAATCCAAGCGAGCACATGTCTACAAACAACAGCTTGATCGACAACAGTTTGATTGAAGAAGCCAGTGTTAGCATCGAGTCGCGTCAGCCCGATAGTAGAGCTGACTATTCACATTCTCAGTTTCAGAATGACTTCACCAACTCAGTGCGCCACGGTTGGGACTATTTGGAGCAAGCGGTGTCCATTGATAAAGATGAGCGACAAGGTGGCTTTACCAAGACTGTGCAGACTGTACGCGAGAGCTGGGACTACTTGGAACACAGTTTGTCTGCGAAGTCTGCTGATTCTGAATTCGATGATATGGTGATGACTATCCGTCAGAGCTTTAGTAACATCACGGAAGACCTTGCTACTCAAGTTGAACGTGCTTTGCCTTCAAGCACTCTTATTCCGGACCAAACACTGACAAGCAGGCAAGACGATCTCCTTAACACCGTCATCAACAATATGAGCTTCTTCAACGAGGATAGTACAGACGAAGAGCTTGAACAAGAACTGTTTGGAGCACCCAAAGAGACCACCAATGCCATAAAAGAAGTTCCAACAAATCCAAAGGATCCGGATGAAATTCTTGACGAGGTATTGGAAAACTGGAGCCTCACTTCGGACAATCCGACAGATCAAAAAGAACAAAATTCATCTGATTTCGCCAACGAGGTACCAAACGAGGTACCAAGCGAGGTACCAAGCGAGGAACCAAGCGAGGAATCAAACGAAGAGCCGGATTTTACCAACGAGAGTGGCTTCATTGCTACTGTGCGCCAAACTTTGAGCTATTTGACCGATGACGGCGGGGATGAAGAGGACGAGAATGGGTCATCAATGAGTAGATCTCATACTGAAGAAGTCAAAACAAGTCGCGAAGAGAAACACGAAAAGAAGGAATCGGGTGGACTCCTCAAGAGCTGGAGCTTTCTTTCCTCTGGATCCCGTGACGATGATGACTCAAGAAGCGCATCAGATACTTCAAGCATCGGTACGGCCAGTGATGATGATGAGTCTGCAGTCTACAAAGACGATTTGTCAGTCGATTATTCGGATGCACCTAGCGATGAAGAAGGCCTTTCAATTGGTGGCCTTTCTAGGGGCCAAGGTGGCATGCTAGACCAAGTACTTGATCATTGGAGTTACTTTGCAGCAGCAACCGGGCTTCCAGAAGATCTTGATGAGTTTGATGATTTTGATGACTACTCCTCTACGCACTCGGTTAGTGAAAGCGACGAGTCAACGATTGTTGAAGAAAGAAGGATGAGGGGTCGCAGCAGAAAAGCCTCACCAAAGACAAATCGTCGCCAGGAAGCCGCGCCAAAGGCAAGTCGTCGCAAGAAAAAGTCATCCAAGAGCAAAAGACGGGCGATTCCGGAGACTGTCTTCAGCACCGTTGATGACAGCGAATCTTCAGTGGATCAAGACTTACCGCCATCAACGGGCATGGTGGTGAATATTCCTTTGCAACCTTTGATTGTGCACACATCAGAACAAGTCAATGGTCCGTCCGCAGCGGAAAAGACGATTGAAGGCGATGTGGTACCGGTAGCTCAAGAAACCGAGAAAGCAAGTGCCGAAAAAGAAGATTCCTCGAATTCTGATGTTGAAGATGCAGAAGCGAAGCTCGAAGCGTCTGACGAAGAGCTATTGAAGGATGAGCAAATCGAGGAGAAGACTGATGAAGAGACCGTCTCTGCAGAAAGCACCGCGTCTGATTCTGTTGAGGAGGAAATTCAAAGAGCCCAGGAGAAGGCACTACTAGCCCTCGAAGAAGAAATGGAGTCTTCCGGCTCCGCAGTCGTGACCGGTCCGGTGCTGGTGGAATCGACGGAGGTGGGCGAACCTGGAGAATATGGAAAGATGAATGCAGACGAAGAGAGCATTGAATCGATTGGTTGCGCGACAGCGACAGAGAATGTCAGCGTGCAATCAATTCAAGATGCAGATGATGATGTATCAGAAGTCTTTGACGCTGACAATGTGTCAGAGAGCGGTTTGGATGATGCTGAAGAAATCGAAAGGAAGACAGACGAAGATGAATCGGTAGAGAGTGCATCGGTAGAGAGTGAGAGTGCTGCGACCGTAAGCGAGTCTTTGGAAGACTTGGGCCATGAACGTAGCTACTTCTCCGAAAGTGAGGGCGAAAGTGAGGATGGCAGTGAGTATACTGCTGAATATTCCGACGAATCTTCCAGCACTGGACCCATCAAAAAGACCTACTCTGCTTCGAGCATGAAATCCGCAGTCTCGTCGAGGTTCGGTCAGCCAGGTTCAACAACAGATGATATAAACACAGCAGCCAAGGTGAAATCTACAAAAGGGCAAACTGGCAGAGTTGTTGACTGCCCACGTTCTTCCAAACGCTCTAATCAATCCCGAAAGAAGCGGAACGACGAAGAGTCGGAGGCGTCGCAACCCCATCGCCGAAGGTTGGTATAGCATCATCAGTTATACATTATAAGCTACATGAAACTAGAGTCTGGTTTACATCGTCATAACATTTGAGCTATCATTGCATTGCAAGAAAAGATTGACCATTTTGAGATGATAGTGAAGCGATAGCTATCAATTCTTGTTCTCGGGCCCATGCAACATAGGCTATTGCACCCGCAGTACCCGCAAGGAGATCATCCGATGCGTGGACATCCGATTCGACGAGTAATCTGTCAGTTGGTACTTCTCTAACAGCATCTCGGCCCTTTCTGCGCGACTTCTCAGATGTGCACATTGCAAAATTAACAGTGTGAGAGAATCCAAAATAGAACAGTGTTTTGTTGTCCTTTACAATCGTCTTTTCTAGTGCCAGCAGTTCTTTCACGTGATGCGCAGTGCCTGTAAACGAGTGCATGGCGATGGCCGGGGGGAGCAAGTTGGAAACGTCTTCGCCAGCCTCTGCACTGTCACGGATTTCCTTCAGAACACTGACAAAAACTCCATGCTGATTTACGCAATGCACAGATACAGGCCGACGTAGACGTGCCGCGAGTATGAATTGTTTCTATCGATGAAAGCAGCAGATGCGTTATTCCTTCCTTCTTTTGCAACTCTGTCGACACTCATTATTACCATGGCTTTCTTTCAGCTTACTTTGAATACCTCTCTCTGAATCGCAAGAGCGGCTGCCTTTCCCTCTGGATGTTGCCGCACAAATCGTGCCATTTTGCACAGCCCAATCTCACCCACAATTGCGGAAGGGTGCTCCAAAAGTCCAATTCCTCTAACCAATTGTTGGGGAGCCTTTCCAAGTACCACGGATGGACTCCCAGAGCTGGCAGTACCGAGGTAGATTTCGAGGCATACCGTAGTGTATCTGCCCAATCTTTTGGCTCGACAGCGCATGTAATGCTTTTTAGTTGAAGGGGTCCCTGTGATGATGTCGTTTTGTTGTCCAACGTGTAGTTTTCATCCGCATCTCGTTCCAACTGGGCATGCCCATGTGAGTCGATGAGTATCATGGTGGTGTCGATTGGCGAAGCCTTTGATAGAAAATCCACTGCCTCTTTTGGGTCCATAGGAAGCTCCATGGATGACACAGATATGCCATTGTAGTTTGATTTCAGTGATGGTGGCAAAAATAAATCGTCCTCTAGACGAAAGGTGCAACAAGGACAACCTTTCTTCGGATCCATGGTTGGATTTGATTTTGTTGAGTTGTTTTGGTTGGAGTTCGACATTATTGATTGAACATGTCAGCGTCAGTCGAACGAATCGTTAAATGACTCAATCGACCCGAAGCTGGCGGAACTGAGAAGAAACAAAAATTCAAATTTCTCGATGGAACTGCAACGGCACAAAAATAACAACCATGTCAGCTGAAAGTGAATTTTGGATATATCACGAGCGTCAACAGGCTCTGTTGTGTGGTCAGCATGCATTGAATAACCTTGTTCAAGGATGCGTTTTCTCGGCGGATTCTCTTTCTCAGTTGGCACTGCAATTAGGTACGACATTTGTGATGGAAACGCACCTTCTGCATTATTTATTCCTTGTTGAAAGCACATGCACTCATTGATTTTAAAAAAAATCAATTCCTTCTTCTACTGCAGACGAGATGGAGCTTCAGTTCATGTCTCAGAACAATGAAGGTGGAGTCAGGTCCAAGGATTATCTGGTAGGTACAACTATTCGGTCGTAGAAATTTCTCTTGATTAGATTTTCTCTTGTCTAACAAACTCTTGTAACAGGAACGCTTGGCAGAGGGCTCGGCAAACGTAGACCCCTCCGGAAATTTTTCGATCGAAGTGCTGCGAGCAGCTTTGCAGCGGCAGTATTCCTTGGAGTTGCCAAATATTCGACAAGAAGGCGTGGCTGGAGCTATTGGGGATGTTACAAACGTGGAAGGATTCATATGCAACAAAGAATCTCACTGGTTCGCGATACGAAAGATCAATGATAGATTTTGGAATCTCAACTCGATGGAGGAACGCCCAAGCTTGATTTCGCACTTTCGACTAGCAGCTGAAGTCCAAGGCCTTCAAGACAATGGATATTCAGTGTTTATTGTCATGAGTGGTCTACCGGCACCATGCACATCAAAGGAAGAACAAACTCGTGGTCTTCCAGAATATTGGTGGAAAGAAGACGATTTGGTGAAAGGAAAGGGTTCTAGCGCGATCACTGGGGCCTCCTTTCCCGGCTCAGGAATGCGTTTGGATGGACAATCAAACTCTCATGATCTTTCCAACTTGACAGAAGAAGAAATGCTACAGATAGCACTGGCACAAAGTATGGAGCAGTCTGCAACGACAAGCGAAGCGAAAGCACTTGCATTAACTCCTGAACCAGCAGCTGACGCTGCAGGAGCCGTCAAAATTCAATTCCGTTTGCCCAATGGAGGTCGATCTGTGCGACGATTCTTGGAGAGTGAACCAGTTGAGATGATCCGTGCATTCGTAGAGGATGCTTCAAATGATGGTCAAGGGCGACAATTGCAATTGAAGTTTGGGTTTCCTCCAAAGGACTTGAAGACTGTTGCGAACAAGACAATCGGAGAAGCTTCGTTGAATGGAGAAAGCATCCAATGTCGGTATGCCTAGTAGTTATTATCGTTTCTGTAAAACTATTGTAGAAACGAGCTTGAACTGCTTGACTTTTACAATATATGACTGTCATTCTGATAGCATATGCCAAAGAAATCTTCCCGGTCGCTGTCGAAATGGAAAAGGTCATCATTGAGGTATTTACTTTACAGTCATAGTGTACTGTAAAGGTAGTCTTGAGTGCGCTGAAACGAACGGTAGGTTGATAGACCACAGGATTTCTGTGACAAGGGTGGAGATTCATCTCCATCAGCGGAGTTGTCAAGGCTGAAAGAAATGCAATTGAATGGCTATCACGCGAACGTATCTAGGCGGAAGAATCATAGCACTATTGGACAGCATTAAGTTGTTGGCAAACAAGCACCCACACTACAATAAACGCCAAAACACAAACGAAACGTCCCCGACAATCTACAATACATAGTCATTGACAACAACGGAATCCCGTTCGAGGTATGAATCCCATGGTGCAATCGAAAGTTGAAAACAATTCAAAGCATTTGAATGATTTTGCATCTCAAAAACACCAAATGATATATTCACGATCAACATCGGTAACTGGATTTGTTCTTTTCCCTTTATAATTTAGATGTTCTTGCGTTGAAGACCTGGGGGCAGAGATTGAGTCAATTTATCGGCCTTCTCGGAGTCCTTAACCTTCAATGTGTACAAGTGACGCGAGCATCGGATCTTGAACTTGGTTTCGGAATCACGCTTGCGGATCTTGACAAGCTTGGCGTCGCTTCTGCGTGCCTTTTGAAGGAAGTCTCTGATATCAGTAATTTGCTTTGGCATTGTTGTGTATTATTATCTGTAAGCGAGGGAACAAAATAAAGGTGAGTGGTCTTGTCTTGAAATGCGTTGTTTGGCTTTGTGATTTTCCAGCAATCAAAAGTCCATCGATCGACAGCCCAAATCCGAAAAACTCCTCACACTACAGTCTCTGACAACAGTAATAATATCCTCCTGTGAATTGTTTTGGATTTTGGTCAACACTTGCTCATCGTTACTCACAGCTCGACTTTCAAAAGTAGTTTCTCGGACTCTTATTTGGTCGATTGAAAAGACTGGAAGTAGCGGTAAGCGGTAAGAGGTATGTACGGTTATTACTTAGTCCTTATCAGGAAATAGTCGAATCAGTCGTATTTATGACGTCATGGCATCATCAATCCTCACATATCAGCCCACGCAATATTCTGATGCTTTGGATTTCTTTTCTGTGTGCAGTTCTGCAGAGCGTTACAGCTATCACAAAAGTTTGTGTCAGCAACGATGGTGATCTTAACCGAGACAGAAGCGCTTGTCACTCCTCGTAATCCCGCGGCGAAACATAACTTTGGCCCAATTTCCTTTCGGGAAGATACGCTCTTCACAGCCGAACGACCTGGGCATCCTGGAACCAACGGAGTACCGACGGAGATTGTGGAAGATTGGATCCGGTTCATCAAGTCACAAGGGATCTCAAATGTCCTTATCATTATGGATGAAAATGAATTCGGAGTCTATGAAATTGACTTGAAGGACTTTTACCAGGCGGCAGGACTCAAAGTGTTCCATATTCCGTTCTCGTCGCCGGATTGCTACGAACGAACCATGGCATTGATTGAGGAAATGGATCGCAAAGGAGAAAAGGTGGTTTCACACTGCACTGGTGGAAAGGGAAGATGTGGTCGCGTAGCGTAAGTCAAGGACGAGACTGTGGGAAGTTGTCGTTGATTTGAATCATTATTCTCACGTTTTAGGTTGGTTGACGTCATTACAACAGGTGCGCTTGGTTGTGCAAAAAGTGGAATCTTTCCCCTTTACAAGCCTCGCAAGAGTTCATCGATCAGGCAGAAAAACGTGGTTTATATCGTCTAGGAGATGTCCAGAAACTAAAATCCTGGATAGGGTACACTTCTTGCTGCTAAAAGTCAGTCGAGAACTGCCGCTGTGTGTCTGTCAATGTTAAAAGCACTATTGGATGTAATAATATTAATAGTTGATGTTATGTATCGAAAATGCGCTACTTGTATTCACAACATGGAGCACAAAGAAGGATACCATCGTGTTTATAGCGGGTGTACTCATTCGTCATTGAACATGCATTATTTCTTATAACTTTGTTCTAGTCTAACGAATGTTCATTCTGTCTAAACAGCATTATCGTCGACGTGAAGAACCTTGTCTGCAAGAGTTGCACCAACGATTGCACCGACGATTGGACCAAATACATAGACCCACCAACCTTGAAAGGCCACAGTCTTCCAACCAGCTAGGAATGCGACGATTCGTGGTCCAAAGTCTCGTGCTGGATTGAAACCAGCTTGTGTCAATGGTGCCAGAGTTGCAATCAAGGAGCCGACGGTAGCACCAATCAAAAGTGGAATGTATCCATCCTTAGCCGTTGAGTTCTTCTTGTTGGTCAAGGAAAAGACGACAAACGACAAGACTGCAGTTCCAAAGGCTTCCGCTAGGAATGCAACCGATGAACTGACCGGGTCCCTGTGAAGTGAAGTGAAGTAGAAAGTGAGCCATGACATCCACCAATGCAAAATACTACTGTAGCAGACCTATCCAATTTCGGCTTACATGTAATATTCTCCAAAGCATTTTGCAGATGCGACACCCGAAGCAGCGGCTCGAACGATATTGTTGGCCTTTTCATAGGCAGCAATTGTAGTGCCGTAGATTGCCAGATTGACCCCACCGGCAAGGACAGCACCCGCAACTTGTGCAATAGCGTAAGGAATGACTTTTGCCCAACCGAATTGGGCGGATGGTCTCAAAAGTGCGAAGGCAATGGAAATTGCTGGATTCAAATGTGCACCAGAAACATCAGCTGTTGTCGAAATGGCAATTGACACTCCAATGATCCAAGTTGAGGCAATGGAGAATAGATCCAGTGAATTCGTAAAGACTGCAGACATGACTGAAGCTGTGCCGATTTGTACCATGATGAAAGTTCCAATCATTCTATCGAATATCGAGTCCAATACAACGATAAATTAGGCCAATGACTCGGCGATATTTTTCACTCGATAGTCACTCTGGAGCACTTACTCGGCCACCATTTCGCGGATGAGACTCTTTCCCTTCTTGGAGGGCACATCTTGATCTCCTCCACGCACAGACAATGCTTGGGGGGCAGTATCATAATTGTCGCCAGATTCGTTGGTCATGGCAATCAGTGATGGGTTCGATTTGATATGAAGTCTTGGATGATGTATCAGACCGAAATTATGATACTGACTTGGACTGAATGCTTTGGCCGATGCCTGTGGACTATTGAACGACGCCAAAATAAGAGCAAACAAGAACAATTGCAGAGTTCTGGAAGTGGTTGTGGCAAGGTTCATGGTGCAGCTTTTTGTTTCTGTGCAGGATGTTCGAAACCTTTCTTGCAGCCAACAGGCGGTCG